CAGTAATATTGGTAAATCAAATAACATGATTTTATTCATGACTGACTCGCTGAAACCGAACTTATCAATTTATTGCTACGATGGTAGATCAAATGCTCTTTCATTCGTCCAAAATTTAAAACAAGAGCTTCACATTGAGTGTGATATCGCAAAAGACTAAAATCTTGATTGAAACTTCAATGTAGAACCTTAAATATTTCCAACTCCGGACATTATTGGCTGAATACTTTGTGCATAGGATGTTTCAACTTGTTGGTGTACACGTATGTGGCTAATTCATCAATGATTGGCCAATATTCTGATGTTTATTCATCGTTTTGGCAGCTTCACCATTTTCATCTACTTCTCACGTTCTACCTTATAATAGACTAAATCACAAATGTCTTCTCTTTGCAGATGTAACAGTCATCCTATGTTGAACGAGCGCTATTTGCTTCTCATGTTAGATGTGTATAAGAGACAGGTTTTCACTCATTGGAGGCTCGCTTTTTGGGGACTCTGGTAAGTTTTCGCTCATTGGAGGCTCGCTTTTTGGGGACTCGGGTAAGTTTTCACTCATTGGAGGCTCGCTTTTTGGGGACTCTGGTAAGTTTTCGCTCATTGGAGGCTCCCTTTTTGGGGACTCGGGTAAGTTTTCACTCATTGGAGGCTCACTCACCAATTACAGACTGGATGTATACTCATTTGTTTCATTTCATGTATAGAAAGATTCCAGGTTTTTAATCCTAGAAAACTAATGGTCATTGTGTTCTTTCAGCTATTTGTGCTACTATTTCAGCTATCTTTGATCAGCTATTTTCTTTTTTAATGAGTTTACATTCATTCAATAGTTACTGGTTGTTTCATACTATGATTCAATTATCTGTCACTAGAATGACTAGATTTTACTATAAGGCTAGTTTGCTTTTATTCTCATAATGATGTAATATTAAATTGTAATGTGAAATTTGTTGTGCAGCAAAGCAGCAGTGGTGGCAACAGCCTTCCATCATCTCCTATGTCTGGACCGCCTCCAAATTTCAATTATGAAAGACAGGATTCAAATCTTAGTGCTGGTTTGTATTATTTTCTTAGAATTATGCCTTATGCTGAGGTAGTTGAAATGACGATAGATCAGCTCATATTGGAAGTCAAACATTTCCATGGTGATTCATAACTCTTTTCACTGGTAATTGTTGTTATAACGTTCAAAACATTTGTCCACAAACTTGACATTTTTTGGAATATATTAACATGTTGTTCTTTCTGACTTCATAAGTCAGTGTTCTACCACTTCAAGTTTACATGAATTAAAAGGGCTCATTTAATTGGTCCTGTTGTGAAATGCACAAAATTTGAATCAAAGCAGTAGCAGTTGTAGATTTTTTAGTATATATGTTATAGATTATTTTAATGTTTAATTCATTGTTTAATTAATTACTTGATGTTTAATAGATTAATTTACAAAATACTTGAATATAGTGCTGTTGAATTTTGGAAATTTGCTTTTTAATTTTTCTCTTAGGAATTGAGCAGGCTGTTCGTTTTATGTTACAAATATTTTGAAAAGAAAGCCCCAAGTTTTTCTTGAATGTCGTCTATTAATTTCTCGGTTCTTGTCAAGTTTGTTATTATCTTGCCATACTGTGAAGCGCTTCCTGCAGTACAAAAAAATTATCTGTCAATTTCATTTGAAAGTTATTGATAGAAAAGAACGAGCCACTCGCATAAAGATTTAATTGAAGTTTCTTATATTTTTACTTTGATTCTCATTGCCATGTTAAGCTCTTATGCATATTTTAATTTTATTATAAAACTTAATTCATAATTTTGAAAAGAATTAAAATCTTGTTTCTAATAAAGTACCTCGCTGCATAAATATGTTATGACACATGATTTCCATTAGTTATTCACTGTAGCAGATCTTAATTTCAGGCTTAACAGTGGAGACATGATGATTTAAATAATTATATACATCCCATTCTTATCATACTTTGTACATAGGCGTATATTTTCTATTGTTTCCAGGCTCTTTGCCCAGTGAAGACATGAGCAGTCCAGAGAAGCCTCCTGCAGTGCTTATGCCTACCTCGGGTGTAATTACCTCCTCGGTGCTTTGTACTGCTGGTCTACAGCAGCTCACACAGCATCAGCTTAGCCAACAACAACAGCAGCAGCAGCAGTCACAGCAACCAATGACTTCAGTGCCTTCTGGTCGCACCACGCCTGCAGATCGAAAGCGGAAGAGGAAGAGTGCGTCTGCCGGGGCAAATATGCAACTGACGCAAGTAAGAACCTACATTTAATTGTCCATGATGAGGATGTAGCAGTGTAGCTTAAAGACTCAAGTGAGGCCCTACATTTAATTCCCCCGTGATGGGGTGTAGCTTAAAGACTCACGTGAGGACCTACATTTAATTGCCCATGATGAGGGTGTAGCTTAAAGACTTGAGTGAGGCCCTACATTAAATTGCCCATGATGAGGGTGTAGCTTAAAGACTCAAGTGAGGCCCTACATTTAATTCCCCCGTGGTGGGGTGTAGCTTAAAGACTAAAGTGAGGACTTACATTTAATTGCCCATGATGAGGGTGTAGCTTAAATACTTGAGTGAGGCCCTACATTAAATTGCCCGTGGTGGGGTGTAGCTTAAAAACTTGAGTCAGGCCCTACATTTAATTGCCCGTGATGGGGGTGTAGTTAGAAGACTCAAGTGAGGCCCTTCATTAAATTGCCCGTGATGGGGGTGTAGTTAGAAGACTCAAGTGAGGCCCTACATTAAATTGCCCGTGATGGGGGTGTAGTTAGAAGACTTATGTTATCCATACATTTCAAGGTAACGCCTTCAAAGGTAATTTTGGTTAATCAAGGTAGAATGTTGCCGTTTGAGTAGATATGTACCTACCTATGAATTAACAAAAAATAAAAATCATTTGAACATTTCAAATAAATGACAAATTACAGGGTTATTCCTAATGATGAGCCCAATGTAATAAATTCATATTTATTTAGATATGAATTCAAAATGAAAAATTTATACACCAATAGAAGGAGAAAGATTCAACAAATTTTTTTACATAGTTAGTGCTGCACGGCAAACAACTAAACGGTAGCTAAACTCTGACATCGAACATTTGTAAATAAGTAAATAAAATACTTAAAAAAACTTAAAAAAAAAAAAAAACACATTTTTCTTGTGTCTAAAAAGTAGAAAATAAATTATGGCTCGCCCCTAAAAAACGCGTGTCGGGCAGATTTATGATTAAAGCGAAAAGCACACAACACGCGAATTTTGGAAATTTGATGGTGAACGTACAGCCCGACCCACGTTTTCTTGGGGCGAGCCATAATTTATTTTTTACTTTTTAGTCCACAAGAAAAACGTGTTTTTTTAAGTATTTTATTTTCTACTTTTTTAGTCCACAAGAAAAACGATTACAGCCCGACGCAAAAGGTTAGCCCCACCCCTTTAAAACATCATACCACATCGAGTTTAGCGAGTTTTATTGTGCAAATGGTGGCAAACGAATCGTCTTGGTCTCAGTAATCAAAATACAATAGACTGTAGTGAAAATGCAATTAGTAACGGAGAAAATGAAAAACACACGTTTTTGCACCGACGCAAACGGTTAGCCCCACTTTGTACATTTTGACATTTTAGGCAAAACAAAATATACGTCAGCTGCAAAACTAAAAGTTATTTACCGATATGCTCCCCTTTGGCTTTGTAGACATCCAAGCACCGCTTTTTCATGCCCTGAGACAATCTACGGAGGTAGTTGGGGCCCAGATTGGACCAGGCGGCTTGAATGGCCAACTCGAGTTCTTCCTTCGTGTCATACTGCTTCCAGCAGGCTTAGACCAGCCAGCAGGCTTAGATCCCAGCCATGTACCCCCAGACGTTCTCAATGGGATTCAGATCGGGGGACTTGGCTGGCCAGTCCATAACCCGGATTTTGGCACGCTTGAAGAAGGCCTTGGTCGTGCGCGCCGTATGGATTGAGGCATTATCTTGTTGGAAGATGGCGCCGCGGCGAATTTGGTGGCGGATGACGGGAAGTAGATGGTCCTCGAGCGTTTGGACATAGTCGTCCGCGCACTGGTTGCCTTCGAGGAAGACGAGCTCGCTCGTCCCGTTTGTTTGCATAAAAGGCCCTCCACACCATTACACTGCCCCGCCATTTTGGCGGCTAAAAGCTGCCTTTGGATCATTCCTGCGGCAATGCCAGTAGTACTTCAGACCATCTGGGCCATCCAAATTCCATTTCTTCTAATCAGAGAAGATGGTTTTGGCCCAGATGTCATCACTAGTACTTGCATACTTAGTGCCCCCAGACGACCCTGGCATGCTTGTGAACCTCGGTCAATTGGGGGGCCTTGTTCATCTTCACGTATTGGAAGATGCCGGAGGGTGCGAGAGACGGTGGACTTGGAGACATTGAGCTTCAACTTTTGGACTTGTTTGGGCGCGCTCAAGTCGCCGGGCACCGCAACTCGGAAGAGGCGACGCGTGTCACGGGCCGACATCTTCTTGGAGCGGCCTTTGGAGTGCCACTTTCCGTAGTGCACGGGGTCCTTGAGATAGTTGGAGATGGCTTTGCGGCTACACCCCACTTGTGCCTCCATTTGACGCAGGCTAGGGCCCTCGCCCTCAGGCAGCGCCATCAGGGCTTGAATGGCACCTTTCTGAAACTCAGTTAGAGGCTTTCCCGCGCCCATTTCTTGCCTAGGTGAGCATAAGATCCGTGCACAACTACTACGCTATGAACGCACCCTTTGCAGCGAGCTACGCTGCGTCCTGTCCGAAAAGCGCCAAACTTGCAAAGTGGGGCTAACCTTTTGCGTCGGTGCAAAAACACGGACCGCTTGATTCTTCCGCCAGTAATTAAATTCTTCACCAAATTTTACCTGCTATAGATTGCAGAGCGCAAGACAAATCGTTTGCCACCATTTGCACGTTAAAACTAGCAAAACTCGATGTGTTATGATGTTTTAAAGGGGTAGGGCTAACCTTTTGCGTCGGGCTGTAAGATTTGATTAAGTATGACTTGACGTACGTATCGATGATACGCAGCGTCAGCGCCCGCCCGTCATACCATATATACTCTATATATACTTTACTCAATTAAGCTAATTTAGGTCTCTAATTGCTAGTTTTTATGATTGTATCTGAAATTGTTAGGCGAAAATAGCCTGCATGCCGAATTTCAGATCTCTATAGCAATCAGAAGTGGGCTAATTTTCGTTGTTAATGTTAACAACAAACAAACGCAAAGCTGAGTAAAGAAAAACGTGTAAAAAAATGGAATCTTTCCATTGGTAAAGAGATTATTCATTTTGGATTTATACCTGAATAAATACGAATTTATCGAATTGAGTTCGTCAATTAGAATAACACCGTATATTTTTGAAACAAATTAATAAAACCATTAATTCCAATTTTATAAATCCTTATTGTCTGTTGGGTCCAATGGGCACCAACTCCAACTAATCATTGTTCCAAAAGGTAAGTAATTTACAATTCCCGGAAATTTCACCAAGAAAGTTAGTTTGGTTTATTATTCTACGTTTGGTCCAAATGTTTAATTGTTTATTGATAAGTTGAAGATTTTCTACTCAGGTTGGTTGTGAGCATTTGATTTTATGCTATTACATGAATGACAAATTCGCTTGGTGGGAATTTTTTTAGCGTTGTAAGGCTACTATTGGCATTAGGTAGAGCAAGCTAAGGAAATATACATTATTAGGCAGCTTGTAAAAATAATGCTCATTTTCATTTTCTTCCAGATGGATGATGGTGGGGGTGGCGGGGTATATCCCCCAGGTACTAAAATTCCTCGCTCTAGTGATAGTAATAAGAAAATAAATGATTATTTTAAGCAACAACAGCAGCAGCAACAACAACAGCAGCAGTCACAACAAGTGGTCAGCCAGACTCAGCAAATAGCCAGCTCACCATCAAGGCATTCTGAGAGACACAACAACTCAGGCGCTAAGAGTCCCTTACCTAACAAGCTCATCAATATAGTGAGTGGTCATTATACTATCATACGTGGTAAATCAATGAGAATTCAATAAGGATATATGTCTATAAATAGGATTCTATCATTGATTATGTACGTACTTGGTATTGCAAACCCTTCTGATGAGTTTTTATGCAACTTGATAATATTGCAAAGTTACTTTATTTTCTCACTAACATTTTTCTTTAATTTTTTTTTGCAGTCTTCGGTGCAACAACAACAGCAGCAGCAACCACAACAACTTGTATCCACTCCGCCTACATTAGGTGCAGCTCCTACTTTCCTCACAAACAACTGTAGCAATTTAGAGCTACGATGCGACACGAGTTCTAGCACCAACTCCTGCCCAATTAGCAACAATAACCTAAGCAGCAGTAACCCAGGCAGTTGTACTGCAACTGCTGTTGCATCTACAGTAGCGGTGGCATCAGCATCTTGCAGAAACAGTTCGTGCGAGGGCATGATGCTACCGCCTCGAGGCGTCCCGACTTCCATGCTTCACAGATCTACTCAGACCGATATAACTTTACGGCAACTCGATGAGATCGCCACAAGAGCCTCTACAGACATTGAGGCAAAGGAGACTCGGATAGATTCATTACAACGGGTAAGAAACATTGCGCCTCATTGTCACGTTCAATTTAGCTAATGTGTCTTTCACTTTTCAATTGATAGTATACTGAATTATATGTATTTAAATGATATTAAGGTGGGGATTCTCAATCATATACCAATCTCATTGCAGTTATTGTGAAGAAAATATTGTTGTAGTTTTTGTTTTTTTTTTCTAAATCTATCGCGAGAATGATAATTTGCAATATAATTAAAAATAATCTAAAAATTTTTACAAATTAAGTAATTTCATAATTTTAGGAAAAGGAAGAGCTCACCCGACAAATAAACCAGCAAGCCAAGGTGCTGGAAACGAAGCAGCAGCAGATGACTCGGTGCATCGATGTAGTTAAGCAGCTTCTCATCGAGAAATGCAACATCGAGAAAAAAGAAGCACGGCGCAAGTGCTCCCACAACAGGCTCAGGCTCGGCCAGTTCGTCACCCAAAGAGTGGGTGCGTCTTTCCAAGAGAACTGGCAAGACGGATTTGCCTTTCAGGACATTTCTAGGTGAGTTTATTCCGGTCTTAGTTATTGTTTTGTTTTTCTATGTATAGTATTTACTTTGATCGTTGATTTTCTATTTACTAGTTAATAGTCCAAACAGCAACGTGAAAAATGACCGTTTCCAGTTTTTCAGTTTTCACATTTATTAAGAAATATTGTCTTTTTTTACTTTTGATGACTGCTGTGCCGATTTGCATTACTTGAAAGTGCCAGATTCCAATGACAATTGGTTTTCTTCAGATGCCATATAGTTTTTGGTAATTTTGTTTTTGGCGTATATTTTTTAAAAATACATTTTATTGAACTCTTCAAAGGTAGCACCAGTCACAAGATAGAGCCATCTTTTTTAATTTAAATTCTTGCCAGGAGCTATTTATGCTGGTCTGTATTTAATCGGATATTTTCGAAAGCGTGTTTGGAAGTCAACACAGGAAAACTACTGAATTTAATCGTGCAAATCACTGTAAAATGTTGTGCAGACGCCAAGAGGAGCACCAAGCCGAGAAAGAGGAAATAGACCGGCAAAGAAAGCTTCTTCTGAAGCGGAAGCCTGCCGACCCTGGTAGCAGCAGCGGCCGCAAGCGCGTAGCAGGCGGCGCTGCTGGTGTTGGTGCGACGCCTCCGCCCAACAGCACCACTTCGCAGACCACTGGTGGCCTTACGAACGGTCTGGGCGGAGCAGACCATGAGAACAGGGAGCTCACGCTACAGGAGTATTACGAAGCTGAAGAAATACTTAAAGTGGGTCTTCTAATTGATATTTAGTGATAACTGTTTATCGTGTACATGTATTTTATCCCGGTTACATTAAACTAAGATTGTAAAGCGCTCTCCGCTATACGGTAGCATTAAAAATCCAATGACGTTCATGCAAATAATTGGCTGGCTTGCATTTTTCTAATTTTAGCTTTCCAAAGATAGTGACAAATAATGAAGTTAAACTCATTCATGATTCACTGTATTGTCCAGATTATGCATTTCGTTTTATATTTAATTATTCTGCATTAATATAGCAAGGTTTAATTATTTACGATTTACGTTTGTTCACAGTTACGGCAGGCTGCGCTAAAGAAGGAAGACACAGACTTGCTACAGGAAATGGAAAAGCTCGAGAGGGAAAGAAACTTGCACATCAGAGAGCTCAAGAGGATACACAACGAAGACCAGTCAAGGTAATGCTGCCACATTAACTCCATTATTTTTTATTGGGATTGAGATATTATTCTTATGTTCACTCCTTTATTTTGTATTATAATGGAGATTTTTTAATTTCTACAATGATTTTGATAATATCTAGAGTACCTATATGCTGTCAATTTCACTGAATAATTACGCCATTTTGGTAACCAAATGTCGCGACTCCCACCAGGGTGTAACATAGGATTTTTGCACTAAGCTTCATCTTCGTAGTAGAGGCATTGAGTGACAAACATTTCTATGTGCAGAGTTTTGCAGCAATGCGCCTCGTCGCGCAACCCACACGACATGTGAGTCTCAAATTTGATTATAAGCTTTCTTTCAATAAATCTTACATGGTTTAACTGAAGTCTTTTGGGATGGTGCTCGGACTGCTGTTTATTGTAGTATACTGTATCATACTCTATCGATTACTTGATTTAAAAATTTGCTAACAAAAAACGTAAGCGGATATTCTTTCATTAACCTCGTATCTTGCGGTCAACTTATTTGCTCAGCGGTCGTTCGTGAGGCATGATCTATGTCATCCACACATATTGGCATCCTTCATATCTAGTTCTTTCATTGGTAACTAGCGCTCTTATTTGTCTTCTTTAACTCTGTAGCGAGTGACTCATTGATCATTTTATTCGGGGAAATGGTTCATTGTATCCCTATCACCTCTCACAGATGCGATGCACTCTAACATTGCTATCCCTGACTTCTTTTCTCATTTAACGTTTCAGTTCATGTAGTGCTTTTCAGTATATGTTTTTTTTTTCATTGGCCGATTGTCAAGAACAGGTAAACTTGCTAAAACATACTAATGCTGAAATTGACTGTTGATTTTTAAAGTATGACGTATGATCTAATCACACGGAGATCCGTTTTTCATTATTTAGGAAAGCAGTAAAAAAGAAACACAAATGTTCTGGTCATTTTCTGATGTGGGTAATAATTCGACAAAGACTTCTGATCTCATTTAATATTGTTCAATCTAAGATTATATGGGCCTCAGTCACGAAGAACCATGTTCCCTTATTCAATATTTATGCAATCCTTGATCCAGTCTCTCATTCGATATTGATGCTACTCGTGCTCCCGCTCCTCATTCAATATGTTACTTGTTTATGAAGTGTAGAGCGTTTTGTAATCACTGAATGTGAGGGAATGTGTGTGTGCGTGTGCCCCCAGGAGGTGGTTTGTAGGGCTCAGTGGAGGCGGTGGTGGTGGAGTGGCTACCACTGCCGTCCCAGGCCTCTCCAGCTGTAGTGCCAAACGACTTTCTCAGTAAGATTTTCTTCCTCTCTAACTCGCAACTTTCCCATCCGTGTGAAGACTTATTCCTTTACCTTTTTTCTTTGCCGCTGCTATATTTTTGTGAGCAATTTTTAGTTGTTTTTCTCGCCTTACTAGCCCTTTTTGAGTAAGAATTTTTAACATTGTAGTTAGATGAATTTTTGCTTGCTGTTTTTTCATAGCTATCCCTTCAATCCGGAGTAACTATTCCATTATTTATTAAGATTTTCGTTGACAAAGAAAAAGGATTCTAAAGTATTTGAGGAATTGAAATTCTCGCCCCCGCTGTACTGTTTTTCGTTTTGTTCGTTTTTCACTTTACTTCCATCGTTTAATTTGTTACTGCCTTGGCTGTTTATGTTGTTCTAATTCCTTCGTGTACGATGATAATTTTATCATATTTTGCTACAATCAGTTTTTCGTATTAATATTACACGTTATGTGATCAGCTGAAAATGCTGGTTTCCTATAGCATGAGATTTGGGTTAAGGAAAGCAGAATGGTTTGCCCTTCCCTTGTTGGAACCTAATTTTTTTCGTATTTCTTGGTCTCATCTATGCGGCAAGACAAGTGCATACATTGGTAATTCAAGTGTATATATACATAACTATGGCTAGATTACCATTCTTTTTTACTTCGTCTAGTTTTACATTGATTGGCTCCTGGCTAAGTCAGCTTTTCCTCTCCTTGGTATTTTTTATTTTTCTTGATATTATGGTGCCGCGAACTTGAGTTTTCCGTCTCTTACCCAACATGTAGTTCACTGACCACCTGTTGTTTGGTCCTACGTGCCTGAAATGTGTAACTTACTCTCGAACTGAGTTAAGAAACTGATCCTAAACCTTCACTCGTTCGCCTTGTGGTTGTCCCAACCTGTTCTGGCCGTAGTGAAATTCATGCAATTCACGAAGTTTCTTGAGCATGAGTTGTCAGTAGAGTTTTTTTTAGTATTAGTTTCTTCCAATTTTTTTCATATTAAAATTATGATGAATATTTTAGTATAATAAGTAGACAATCGTGGGCCAACTATAACTATAGTTACTCAAGCACGGTTGTTTCAGAACCATAAAAATGATCTCATTGCAACCATCGACGTTCTGAAGCCTCGCCTTACTTGAAAGGTGTCGTTCCTGAGTTCCATATGACAGTAATATTGGTAAATCAAATAACATGATTTTATTCATGACTGACTCGCTGAAACCGAACTTATCAATTTATTGCTACGATGGTAGATCAAATGCTCTTTCATTCGTCCAAAATTTAAAACAAGAGCTTCACATTGAGTGTGATATCGCAAAAGACTAAAATCTTGATTGAAACTTCAATGTAGAACCTTAAATATTTCCAACTCCGGACATTATTGGCTGAATACTTTGTGCATAGGATGTTTCAACTTGTTGGTGTACACGTATGTGGCTAATTCATCAATGATTGGCCAATATTCTGATGTTTATTCATCGTTTTGGCAGCTTCACCATTTTCATCTACTTCTCACGTTCTACCTTATAATAGACTAAATCACAAATGTCTTCTCTTTGCAGATGTAACAGTCATCCTATGTTGAACGAGCGCTATTTGCTTCTCATGTTATTGGGCAAAGGAGGATTTTCGGAGGTGCACAAGGTATGCCCCGTCTCTTTCAGCTTAGTTTATGTAATATTCCTGCATAAAACAATATTTTATGACATTACTATATAACGAATGTGTAATAATTTCAATTTGATGTTTTCAAATTGAGCGCTCATTGAAGAATACTAAAAGTTTACCTTTTACATATGTTTTTAGCAAAAAGTAGAGAGGCAATCTATATTTCTAGAGTACCTGTTGCAAACCATGATGCGGCTTTACAGATTATAAAAACTTTTTACTTCGAAATTTACTTCTTGGGCCAAAAAGCCAGGTCCATATATCTGAAAAATTATATATAACAAATATTTTTTTCAGGCTTTTGACTTGAAAGAGCAACGTTACGTAGCTTGTAAGGTGCATCAGCTCAACAAGGATTGGAAAGATGACAAGAAAGCTAATTATATCAAGTGAGTCTGGCTAGAGAATGAAATCTAAAGCCTGAATCTAAATCGAGTTAAATATGTGATTGATACAATGTGTGATGATCTCATGACAAAGATGAATTTTATGTAGCAATGCTCTCGTCTTTGACATAATGACTGGTGATAGTTTTTAAATTAGTTAAGATGGGTAATCTTGTTTCGTTTCAGTTCAACGGTCCCTCATACCTCTGGTCTAAATGTGTGTTTTGTTTCCAGACACGCCATTAGAGAATATAATATACAAAAGAAATTGAACCACCCTCGGATAGTGAAACTATACGATGTTTTTGAGATAGATGCCAACAGCTTCTGCACAGTACTTGAATATTGTGATGGGCACGACCTCGACTTCTACCTCAAACAGGTAATAATTTAAATTTTAAGTACAAAAGCGTTGGAAGTGTTTTTGCGTACGTGCTGAAGAATTCAACATATTTCATCTCGTATTTGAAACCATATGTTTATATTTTTTTCCGATTTGCGTCGCTGTGTTTTGCTTACTCAAGCGCAATTGATTAAATAAATGTTTTGATTGTATCTTTACATCAAGTGTATCATTTAACATTACAATATAATTTTCTTATCAAACCCTAATTACACATTATTTTTGTTGCAGCATAAAACTATCGCCGAGCGGGAAGTACGTTCTGTTATAATGCAGATTGTCTCAGCGCTGAAGTACCTCAATGAAATCAAACCGCCCATCATCCATTATGATCTCAAACCTGGTGAGTGAATAGCAACATACAGAATCGGTGAACTTTAATCAGCACTACATTCAGCGCTGATAGTTTTTCGATAATCATGATAATATTGTCCATCATGACGACACAAATCTCAGAATAAAACATCATTTGCATAATCGGCAAGATACATTAACGCCGTCAATATGATTGTTATTCTACTTGCCGTAAAGGTATATTTTTTTCTATACTTTTACTTGCAGTAAAATAATATATTTTTTCGTATTCTTTTACTTACAGGCAACATACTGTTGAGGGACGGCAATATTTTAGGCGAAGTCAAGATAACAGACTTCGGCTTGAGCAAAGTTATGGATGAGGCGAGCTATCATCCTGACTACGGCATGGACCTCACATCTCAAGGCGCCGGCACTTACTGGTCAGTGTGTTTCCGTCATCAATATCGCAATGAAAAATGATTTGATCCTTCACTTGAGTGCTGTGAAGATAGAATTACAAAGCATACGCGTTTATTAATGACTGATACATCTACAAATTTTTAGAGAAGCTTGATTGAAGACCAGAGAGTGGGTTTTACTTGTTATATGTTTTGATATTTTAATCGATTATGTAATTTGAATAATCTCATAAACTTAATGAGATTTTTAGGGCCTTATATTTCGTCAGTTAATGCATGACTTAGTGCCAATAACTACAATTTTCGCGTTTCAGGTATCTGCCTCCTGAATGTTTCGTCGTGGGAAAGACCCCCCCGAAGATCTCTAGCAAGGTAGACGTCTGGTCAGTAGGTGTAATTTTCTACCAGTGTTTGTATGGTAAAAAACCATTTGGTCACAACCAGAGCCAAGCAACCATCCTAGAGGAGAACACCATCCTGAAAGCCACCGATGTACAGTTCCCTCCCAAACCTCTCGTCAGTAATGAAGCTAAGGTGAGTCCACCATACCTGTTGCTTGCAGATGCTTCATTGTTCATTATTATCGTTTAGTCGTGAAAACCAAACTTTTTATAGTTTCATTTATTTTTATTTCGAAAACAAGATATTTTTGATCTTTAATAATTACTTTTAATATTTCTAGCGGGTGTTAGTGTAATCCAAAGTTGTATCTATATTATAATTTTTCTGTTTGTCCTCAGCAATTCATCCGCAGTTGTCTTGCGTACCGAAAAGAAGACCGCAGCGAGGTGATGAATTTGGCCTCAAGCCCCTACCTGTCTCCTCCCATGCCTAAGAGCGGTCGTTCAGCAGCTGCTGCCGCTGCTAATAACCAACAGCAACAAGCCGTTGCCGCTGCAGCAGCTGTAGCAGCTGCGCATTACAACAACCCACAGCAGCAACAGCAACAGCACTCCTTCTCTTCCGGACTACTGGGTTTGGGCAATCAGTACTCCTCCACCAGTTCCTAATGTTGCTCAGTTCGGTCTCTATTGACCTCACTGCTCTCTCGGGTGCATTTCTCTTCTGCCGCATTACTTCTTCCTTGACGCGTATTCGACTGCCAGTCCAAGCCTTTTCAACCTTCCTACGATTGACTTTTAACTAACTGGACAAAGCATGTTCCTTTGTAACAACACTTGCTTCAGGTTCGTAACTTATTTACTGCGACATACGTTATGGTGTTTAAGCAATGACTTGAGAAAAAGTGCAGTTTAGGGGATTAAACAGGACACAGCTCAAGAATGAAATATTTTCGCTGTTCGAGGCTGTTCCGCTATGTTAAAGAATAACCATGCCACTACACAGCACCTTAAATTTCTCCGCTGAATTGAGATGATCACTTCTTTTCTGTTTCTGGGATATGACGCGCCTATTCTCATGCAAGCCTGGCACTGCAGTTCATTTGAATGGACGTGTTGTCAGTTTTTGACATCAATCGGTGTCTGAGTTCGTAGAAAACTTCTTGACTATTAGATTTTTCGGAGGTAGTTCGGAAAGAGCCACCTTATGTGCCCCATTTGCCCCGGACTCTAGTCGTCCTTAGGCTGCTGATCACCTTTTTGAAAACAAGAAGTTCCCATCATTAGATATTGAAAAGTGTTTTTAATGCATTCTCATGCTTGAAATATTCAATTGTCGAAAATGAATCAATTTACCGATTTAAGGTGCGAACCTAATTCTTATGTGCCACCTAATTGTGTATGTGCATGTGGCTTTCTCGCAAATATTTTTCGCGTGCATTCCTGCATTCCTCAGATTTAAATAATTTGCATGGCATAAATTCGAGAAATTTGCCCATGCCTCTTACCAGAATAATTTTCTTGCTAATTGCGATTACTTGGGGGAGTTTTCTTATTATTTTGGTGACTGAATTTCGTATTATCTCTCATCCGACCTGCCACTATTTCTTGTTTTGGTCTTTACTTGCTTCTCGTTCACTTCATCTTATAGTATCTACATTTTGCCTCTCAAGTTAACCTTGCTGCTCTGATTGTAATTTCGCAAATCTGAGAAATTTTACACGAGGCATTAATAGCTCTGACTAGCTTCAATGCAAGTTGTTCTTTGTTATGAAAGCGTTAATAATGATCTGTTTCGATCGATTTTGTGTTCTATTCGTGATTATTGGGTTATATAATTAAAATGAAATAGGATAATTTAATTTCTAGACATGTAAATTTTGCAGTCGTTTTTTCGAATATTTTTCAATTTTGAATTAGGCTAAAGAACGTTTGTTAATCACTAGTTACTCATTATTAATAGAAGATGGTGCTTCGGCGAGAACATTTTTTGTTATTTTGTATGTCAAAAGCATTGGTTTTTTCTATATTTTGAGCACTGTAAACTCTTGATGTTCGTTTGATAAGGTTATGTGTGCATGCTGGCCTCTTATTTCTCCCATTTTCGTTTTCCAACTTCAGTTCATCAATCCGATGAATTATGTTCTTGCGAATTCGTTCACGACTATTATTCTGCTCATGAGTTGAGTGAAGTTCTATGCAGAAGTTTGTTATTTGTATTTATGTAACGGTTGAGCTTGGCGTCTTATCTCGTCCATGGAAGAAGCACGTTTCCTAGAGTGAGGGAGAGAGAGAAATAGCTTCCCTAGCTCGTTTTAGTATCTGGTTAGGCCCAATATTTGGACTGATGTGGTAAACAAGATATTCCATGAGACGACCACAGAAACGTTAATAACTTGAGTGTTTCAGTTGAACCCCTTTTTTTCGTGAGAAACGTTATGTGTTATGTGGACACTTGATGACGGTGGTCGTGAACCAAAGACTTAACAGCCTTCGAAATGCCTTGTCTCAAGATCTAGCTTGAGACCAAGGATGTTATCATTTATTAAAGTTATTATTATAGTAATATTATAATTCCTTTGAGAATAGACTTTTGCTGCGAAACGCCCATATTGCGGTTCGTCTTTTGCAAGGTGAATGAGGTGTCGATTTTTTGACGACTATATAATGGACATGTGATAACAGCTGCTACACTTCGACCGCGTCTATTTAGTTATGTTGAACTCCTTTTTCGTACTCACGATTGAGTGTTTATTGCGACGGCCGCTTCTAAACCATGAATGCATGTCAGTGAATATAGTGCCGTAATTTCATTACAGCATCTGTAAATCAAGACCTATCTTGATCAAATCGTATCATTCCTGACCACTTTGTTACGTGCATTTTAGAATGCTGGCACACATTATAGAGGTAGCGCTTGTACATAGAGAAACTATATCATTTGCTGGTTTCTGTGTAAATTTGAATTTTCGTGCGTAAACTCTTATTTTGAATGTATTGATCGCGTTAGTATGTGTTGTGTTCATCGTTTTGCTACGAAGAGAATGTTGCATTTTCACGCTGATGGACGCTGGTCTATGATATGGTATTTATGTTAGTGTTCTCCCAATCCCCTCCTCGTAAAACTATAAAAAAAACTAACTTTTTTACGACTCTCTAGTCCTTGCTGCGTTCGTTTAGCACCTATGTGGGGCATTCCCGTTCGTCTTAATCGCAATGCAAAATGAAATAAGAAAAACTAGTAACGAAAATATATTTCGCTTTCTCATCTGATCACTGTGAATTATTATGTCCTTGAATAGTTGTTTGAACTCTTCCTTCTTTCATGGCCGAAGCGTTTCTGTTTCGATTTCAATGTAACTTATTGCTGGATAAAATTCGTCAATTTGAGTTCGCTGAGAATTTTGCTAGTATTGGTCAGCATTGTGATGGAACTATGGAAGAAGTAGTCTCATTCTTGGTCTTTTATACGTTATTTTATTTTCTGAGGATTAGTGGCTAACGAGAAATCAATCCATCATCCTCACTTTGCTATTGTGACGAATTGGGTAATCGGTCACGGAAATATGTTGAACTGTCAGGCAAGGTGTGCCTTTTCCATGTATCCTACAATCTGTCAATTTCTTCTTGATAATAATACTATTGAAGAACTGATGGTAGCGCTATAACAACTGTAGAGGGTGTGGGATGAGTAAGTTATTTGGTGACGCTCAAAATTCTTCACAGCAAGAAGTTCACACGTCACGATAGGGAAAGATTTGTATATAGAGTCGCCGTGTGGGGTTTATCATAATTTTATTAATTATGGTGAATGATCAAATAAAACTTCGCCGTAATTGGAACAATTTCACGTGATAGTCAGATCAAAGATTTATTTGCATATTCAAATTTTTGAATAAACCTTCAAAGGTTGAAACGCACCAGAGCCTTCAATACGCAAGACGCTTGAGGCCAATTTTAGTTTGTCTTACTATGACGTACTACATATTCTCACTTCCAGACTTACCGATATTGGATATTTACAAGTCGTTTGGCTGACATTGGTTGACATTTTGTTCGAAGTCCGTAACTAAAAAAATAAGTTTTGTGATTGACAAGCTTGCTATAGCGCGCTGTAGACCAAAGCTATTACCTTTCTTCCTTTCATTTGTTATGTTCTTTCTTCCCAACATTAGCTGGTCCGCTGAAGCCCTTGACGCTCTGACCAAATCTCATTCTAGGATTAGCTCATGGTTGCCCCCACTTCAGTATTTTTGCAGCTGCGTCTATATCTACAATGTTCAGAAGGTATCGGGCTGCCGCCTTCTCATAAGAAACTAATTCTCCAATTTGACTGTAAATCTGCGATGTGAATAATAAGTAGTCGTGTGCGTAGCGAACTTTTGACACAACACTCCCGTTGCTGTGCATGGTTTGGCTCGGCCAACTTTACAGCCTTTGTGATAGTTATATTGCTAAACTTGTAAAATTATATCATGTTATGTATATTGTAATGCATAAATAATTACAAATATTGAAAATGTTTATTTATCCTCTTCAATGAATGACAACAGCTTGTATTACTCCAAGAATTTAAAAACCAAGACAATGACATGAAACAACATTTCATTCGCAATTTTAGCATAAAAAGATATGAATACAACAAATGTTGAAAAAAACTCCTATCGTAACATCGACAAATCACTCAATATTTTAAATAGCATAGAAAACTGCTAATTTCGCCGTATAAATTAATTTCAAACCATATTGTAATAAAGTACCACTCATTCGTACCACATTCGCCGCGTACCCCAAGTTTATATCTCGTACCACTAATACTAGTAGCTACTATGTAGCGTTAGTTGCAGTCTACCTCAATCAATGCTCTATCAATGAACGTCTTAAGCGAGTGCTGAGTAAATTACTGTCTTTAGGGACAAGATAGGTGGCGTATGGAAAAAGCGAATTTTAGCCATATTACCATGCATTAACCTGTAAGAACATTTTTTGAAGTATCAAAAAATAAATAAATAAAAAAATCATTTACGGTCGCGTAAGTGTTCGCGTTATGAAATGGTACTTGCATCACAGGTTGGCACCCCCACTAATCACACATCGAAAGGGGATTCGTTTTCCTCCCGAAAAAAAAAAAAATATTAAATAGCATACAATTATTAATCGCACGTAAGCCCCCACCAGCTTTACTTTCTGTCTGATGATATGAAATCCATAGTATACTTCTTATCGCCGATGAATGAAGCGAGTTTGGTGATGCAGTCCACGGTGGGCACGTAAGACACTTCGCTCTCTTCGACGTCTTCTCCAGCGCGCTCTGGCAACGTGGCCACAAGATTAGTTTTAGAAAATAATTACAATTGAAGATGAAAGAATCCTTTAAATTCAATATAAGCGCGTAACATCTCAAAGCGCAAACAACCCAAAAAACTCGACAAAATGAAAAGCATTCAAATTTTATATCAAGACTTAACTCCAATAGGTACAAATTTCATCACAAATTTCCAGTGGCACTAAGTTGAACATTATCATAAATACTTTAAATTTAAACCGTAACATTTGAACACCACCCTAGAAATGCTTCGTATATTTCAACTTAATCTAATATTTCAAACCTGAAACCTAAAAAATGATGGCAAAACACAGCACGCTAATACGTTGAGCCAAACCTAATTAACTGTTCATTGCTCATCACTTCTCTCACCAGTGAACTCTTGGGGTACGGCCCTAGAGAAGAGCGAGTAACTTTGTATCCTTGATACGCAGGTCCTCTTCACGCACCCAATGTCGACGAGCATGAGCAGTAATTCATGCACGTGTGCGGGTGGCATGGTGGGTGAGAGTGCGAGGGCGACGGCTGTACCGTTCACCCCGGGTCGTTCTAGTACCGTGAACAGAACGGCGCCCAAGAGACGGTCGAGCACGCGACGCGCGACCGTTCCACACACGCGCACCCACGGACGCACCGACACCTGCACCTGCTGCCGCCGCTCACTGTTTTGCAAACAAAGCCTTATTATTATTTCCATCGAATATTCCCAAGAAATTAAGATCACACAACTTTATCATTATTTGTAAACAATTTTACAGAGAAATTACTATCATTATTTATGTCAACGTTTTCGTCGTTACGCACTAGTTTTTATCCATCCAATTTTCTCATTCGATTCACATTTAAAACAATGATTGTGAAAAATTAATCGAAAATGATTGTGAAATTATCATCGTGACATTTCCTGTCCAAGCCGACATAGAAAGTATAAATATAAATGGAATGTACTAAATATAAATAAGATTATTCATTCTATATCATGAAATATATTCAATATGTTTCTAAAATTATGCTGCAATCAATAGTATTACTTCTCATTCATCTAAAAATACTTCGTTATTTGGCTTTATGCCTACACTCCTCAATTGATGTATAGTTGGAAATCCTCAACAGCCTAAGTTTTCAAATGCACTCCAATCGCAAAAATTCGACTTCCACTTTAAATATTTGAAGAATTGATGAGATGTAACAACTTGCAGTAATTTTTTATTTGAAGATGCAGAGTAAGCCTCGAGAAAGTACAAACAAATCTACGTCTCAATAATACATATTCAATAAAATTAGCCAACACATCCGTGAATAAGTAAACGGAATGGATTTCTGGCTGTCATGAGATATCTCACCTTTTCTGGTAGTCTTTGACATTATCCTCCATTTGCTGGCTCTTCTCTTCATCCTTCGAATAATTCTTCTTCGCAGCCACAAATCTAGATCGAACTCGAGCTCGGGTCCCATGGTCTAGTGAGCAAAAAACAATGACAACACTTAGATGAAAACTCTGTAAAACATGCACACAAAGAAGCTCGCTGCCTTTTGTCCACAGGAAATTCATTAAGGTTTGATTTCGGCGCCTCTACTTTTTCAAGGCATTCGACATTCTATTTCCACTCAACATTCTAACCTCAAGTACGGAAAAATACTATAAATTCTTGTTTTTGAATTCGCAAATGCAATATAGACTCGAGTATAAGAAATTCAATAGATAATTTCAGGCTTCAGTTACCTTTGCTGGGGCTGGCAAGACTCGCAGACGAGCTTGGCTGGTCACAAAAAAAAAAATAGATTAGCACCCTAGGAAACTACACTTACAACTTCCGATAAGAAATGCATAAACACGAAACTACTACATAAACACGAAACTACTTGCATTTTTATTAAATTCACGTCTTCAACAGATATAATTGAAATCCACAAAACATGCATAAAAAATTCGTATAGGGAAATTTCTCTTAATTCAAATTTTACTTCATTTAGCTAGCTTTAAATTTAGGTTAGCGCAAATAACTCACGTCATTTAACGTGCACTCATGGGTTGAGTCCGATTGAACAATATCTTGCATTGTGACGTTGGGATGCAGTTTGCAGTCAACTTCACATTTGAGTGGATTAACACTTCTAGTTTCGGGACCATCGTCAATCTCCGGGACCGGAACCTGCGTGCCAGTAGCCGAAATTGTTCCAGAGGTCAAAAGATTCTCAACGTTTACCGGCGCGGCACTCGTGTCTTTTGAATACAATGTTTCTTCAAACGTTGAGTCCTGAGCCGTGGTAGCTTCACTCGTCACGACGTCAATCGAATTGCAATGCAAGCTGCTGCTTCCAGTAATTTTATTAGAGGCAATATGATCGACCTGCGTCTCAGACCTCGCCGTTGAGACCCCAGGGCCAGCCTCGTTCAGTAGGCTCGGTTCAAATTCAACAGTGTAGACACCTTGCAGGCGAACTCCTTGACGTTCTGTTCTGTATTGGTGAATTACAAGTTAATATCATAATATCAATATGAAATTGTTTCACAGGAAGTAAAAAAAATTTTCAGGTCCTAGATGAAATACCGAAATAATTTGGTGCGACGAAGGCACGTCCAAATTGGATGATTAATTTTTGCATTATTTTAAAGCTTTAGCGTATCCAAATGTGTTAAAAATAATAATTCAACAAATAACCACATGAATTTAAAGCCCAAATAAATTGCGAATGGCCCGTAATCTAACCCTTCGAAATAAATTTCAGTTATCAAAAATTTAAACAACGTCCTAATAAAAACTATTGAACACAAAACGGCATAGGCGGGCATTGTATTCTCCAATAAATCATTTACAATCATCAGGGCACCTGGAGATTTGCTGAGTATGCACAAGCCAGTGAGAAGCGTTGGGCAATGTAAGCCACGTTGCTTGCGTAATGCCTTCCCGTATCAAGAGACCAGCCTCTTCCATGGCTACCACCACAGCCATGCAATCTCCTCCACCGCAGCTCAGACGCCAGTCCTACACATTCGAATTGTCGTCAAAGAACAAACTGAGTACAAATAAGCTTCAATATAATGAGAGGATTATGTTATTTATGAATGATCGAAAAGTATCGTTTCGATAGCAGGAACACTCACATACGATGCTAAAATTTGGTTAATAACGCAACAGAAGCAAATCAGTTTCATTTTTAGACCAATGTGAGGTTCAAACTTCAGAGTAAAACTTCCCAGAGCCTAGTAACATAGGTAGTATTTGAAGATAAGGTAGGAAAGTTTAAACTATCGCCGATCCAGAATTGATCGTCAAAAGTGAGTTTGAAATCCGAGTACGGTATATTAACCCTGTTACTTATAACTTGATCTTGTTCATTTCCATGCGTAAAGAAATAAACAAATTGGAAATTCATAGTGTTGGTGGCAAATAAAATTCAAATGTTAAACGCTCATGAATATACAAATATTTCGAGCTTTCATTTCATTCACAATGAAAAGAGAGTTAAATGATTTGATTTGGAAATAGCGAGCTGTTCTTGTATTTAATACATTATAGCTGATCACGGCATAGCTCTAAAAGGTAATTTATATTTGGCTACAATGGATGATCAAATAACTAACAGACTAAACCTCAATCGCCAGGCAGATAGAAGGAGATATAGGTTCACAAATATACAATCCGCTATGTCCAGTAATATCCTAGGTCCAATAATTAGATGAACCTACCTTGATTTGTTGTCGTGTGGCACCAAAAGCACCTTTGTCATTTATGAACTTGTGAATGGCGCGCACCAAAGAGAGAGTCGCATCTGAATATCCCGCCTCAGTCCAATCTGCTAAAGTCTCCTCCAAAGACACGCGCTCGTTCAACAAACCTCTGCACAATATCGTGGAATGAGCATGGACAAATGACAGATTGCGATAGTTAATACAAAAAATTTACATAGGATACATGTCTTTCTATGGAAGGCTAAACTTTAAACTACCCGAGAGAACATTGGTGATCACATTCAGATCATTATGCAATGCTTCCGCTTTTTTCAGTTTGACAGGCAAAGGAAGATCTTTAGCATAGCTACAAAGCAAAGAGGCGCTCAACAATTATAAAATATTATAATTCACGGTGAATTACGCTATAATTTGCGAGATATATCACTTAGCAACAACGCTGCAAGGCGCGTTAAATACAAAGTGGTCAGTAAGTCAGAAAATAAGCACTCATAGACCACATCCAATCGATGTTTCCTCTTCGCCTCTGATTGCATCAACTGCAGCAGTCAATGCAGTTCTAATCTAAACGCTTGAGTTGCAGTTGGACGAGGTAGGCTTAGCTTTTTGTACAAGGAGACTTTTCGTATACCCGTTGCCGTCTGACATTCCTATCTAAAGGCCTGCGACCGTACTATGGAAAATAGTTACGAATTCGTATCTCCGTCGATCAATCACTAACGGCTTCTCTCGCGGAACACATCAATCGCAGACAATAAATCAGACGCCAAATGTGCTTAAACGAATTTGAATGGTGCAGCACCTTATAACTTGAGGTACAGTTGGTAAACCATGTGTCACATGTCTGCGTTGCCTCACTTAGCGCGCTTGCCGAGGACGGAAGTGTGTTGCCTCACCTGGCGCGCTTGCTGAGAACGGACTTGTGAAGGTCTCGATCGACTGGGAGGACATCGACATCTAAGCGCTCCGGCAAGGCCGTTGAAGGCTCGCCAAGACCTGCTCCTTGCGGGGTGGTGAGCTGGCAGGTTACGTCACAGGCCGTCAGCAGTAGATTGTCTTGCATGTGTTGCAGCAAGCCTGGGCCTCCAGAGACTAGGGATATTGGGGTTATCATTAATAACATGGGCTCAATACAGTCATGCGACAATTGGCAGATATACTATTGAATTAACAATGCTTTGTCCCAAGATCAATACAAATTGTTTTTATTTCAATGCAGTCATGCAACAATTGGCAGATGTACTACTGAATCAACAATGCTTTGTCTCAAAATCGATACTTGATTGTTTTTATTTAACTGCTTGTACTTGTTGCATAAATCATAACTAACCGATATTCTGATTTTCCAGAGAGCTAATGGTGTTTTGATCCTTCATGAAGACTGACAGGCGACTGGCAGATGTCACCGGCCACTATAGAGCAAAGTTACGAATTAAAACTTATAACATATAACCACAGACGTTTTTATTCTATTTCATGTATTTCGTGACTTCCAACGACTTTATAATATTAAAACTCATTCAAGAAAATGTGTTACAAAGAAGACAAAAAACTCTGAAACCCAAAGTGCTAGAGCGAGCTCATGAGCCATTTTAATTCATCAAGCAATTATTCTATCAACCTTAACGCATGACGGTTTGACGTCGTTGCAGTTCTCGAAATCCTCAGAATGTGACGCAAGGTCCGCTAGATAATCAGGTTGAGCGTAGGGATCCGTTGCGCTGTTAGACGCTTCGTCTCTCATTTCAGTTTCAGTGTCATCATCTAAGCGAGGACGTTTGCAGCGCTGCGGTGAAAGCGAATCATTGCTCAGGGATCGTTTCAAAGTGCCATGAGGCACAGTAGAAAATTTCAAGGAAGAGCTTTGATTATCAAAACTCTCATCGTTGGAGTCTAACATACTATCTAAATTATTGAGGGTTTCAGTCCCACAAAAGCCTTCCTCTTCATTTGCTGTCCCGACAGCGAGATGTTCATCTTCACTATGATGAACTTCTACATCTTCGTCAAATCTTTCACGTTTCCCCGACTTTTCTAGGTCAAAATTTTTCTCTTTACTTATTCTACCGTCCACATCTTCAGACTCATCTTCGGATCTGGCTCTCTTGATACCGTGGACAGTATTGAACGCTTCAGTATCCTCTTGATTCTCTTCCATTTCTGATTCTTGACAAGAGTTAGAAACATCTTCACAGACCTTCGTTAGATCACAATTTCTTCGACAGGTGCTACCAGTTTGAAATGGCAATTGATCCGTGATGGTTCGCTTAGTATCTATTACAATGATTGTTTCAGGCAAATATGTATGCATGATTACTCGCTTGATAGATGTCAGTTCAATGAGAGCAGCCACGCTCCCTCCTTCATTTTTCTTCTCCCTCGTTAGAGGAACAGAATATTCAGCATTGCGAACAAGATCTTCAGGTCGCTCGCCCGACTTCAGGGCATGGTAGTAAGATTGTTTGAGACGCTTCATGAAGGCCCAGCACTGGTCATACAGATCATAATTATATCTGTTCATAAATTTTTGTGTGAAAGCCAAAGAGAGCTGGAAAGGCGAAGCAGACAACGGTAGGCAAGTCTGACTGATGTTAACAGAGCGATTGTAGGATTTCTTGTAGCTGATCATTTGAGAGTTTCTCAGTTTGACAAGAGTGTTGTAGAGAGTCTGATGAGAATAATGTCCATAGGCCTGGTACAGCTGATAAGCATAAGATTCGCGGTCTGCCCTTGAACATAGTGAGCTCATGAGGAGGCTCATGATAGCGTGGCCCTGAATGTCAGGAACATTAGCAGGCTCAGAGTAATGCGGCGCTGGTTTGATTCCTTTCATCGAAACTACCTCGAAGTGGCGCTCAAATTCTTTGTATGAGTCGTGCAAATTCAGGACTTTGCGCTTTGTGCTAGAATTGAACTTCTTCAGAAGGTAATCAACCAATTCAATGAAAAGTGAACCATAAATGCTCTCTAAATTCTCACGACTGCGCGCAATACACGGAGGAACGAAATTCATTCTTATGTAAATATCATCTTTGACTTCCTCGACGTAAATAGCGACGCTGTCTTCAGTGGTTTGATCTTTGAGGATGTAGTTCATGCGGCGCTGGCATGCTCGAGCAGTTTTGTTCAGGGACTCAGGACAGTGTTTGTGCAGCACAGTGCGGACCAGAGAGAAGGGCAGCATGCGCGGGCGCAGGGCGGCCGGCAAGAGGTAGCAAGAGGCCACCTTACACAGCAACAGCAACGAGTCCTCTGCACTCGACCAGTCGACGCGTCTGAAACATGCAACTTCATTAGAATATTTTTCTGTGTATAATTTATAACTCTTGAAACGTGAAAGAAAGATTTAGAGTACTATAATAATTTGGTTTTAATATTTTTCTGTTTGAAATTGATAACTCTAGAAACGCGAACGGATGATTCACATATGAGGTCTGAACAGTTTATACTTGATGTCACTTGATGAGTCATCACTCTAAAAATGTCAGTTCTAGATGTAAATAAGTGACTTCTTACAACAAAGACAAAATCCTATATGAACAATAATAATGTAATTTTTTTTTTGTTTAGCTCATTTCTTGACGTCAATGAAATCATGCATTATAATACAATCACATGAACATTAGAATAGTACAAGGTTGTGTTAACTACATGCAAATGGAGGGCCTGAAGTATGACTATAAAACAACGCCAATGCTATTCGGGATGTCACAATCTCGATTATTTTTCAAATTCAACCAAATGGATTTTATAATATGTATGTTTATTATATGATCAAGTCAGCAACCTTATTTTCGGCAAATCAGGGAGTTTTTGCTCAAGGGTGATGGATTATATTATACAAGACGATCGTAATCGCAACCGTCATATAATAGATTCAGCTTCCCTAAATGCCATCCAAAAATGAAACAATACAAATAACGAATGGATGTAACGAACGCCGTATAAAGACGTACAATTTGTTCATCCTGCGCAGTGCAGCTCGATCTTCCTCGTCGTAGTAGGGTTTTTTCGAGGGCTTGGCTCGAGCTTTGAGTTTCCGAAGCATTACCTTGCGGCGGGATATGCGTCGCAAACCAAGCAATGGCCTGCCGAAACCAATTTCAATATTACACAGAGATAGTAAATGAATAAATCATTACGTTAATGATCATGAATGCATTCCGATAATTAACTCAATCAATTTATTTAAAAGTGTGTCATTGTTAAGAAAGCTAATATTTGAATAAAGAAGTTAAAACAGTATTTGACGAGGATACTGCGAGAAGTGAAAATTCAACATCTTGAACACCCAGCATCTGTTCGAATATAAATGTACTATTCATTAAAAGAATCATATGTTAACAGCGTTATACGTATTCCAATGTGGAAATTGTAGGCGAAACGTAAAAATAAAATGCTTCAAAATAATTTCGATATAAATGAAATGAATTAAACGGAGTTTTAAACGAAGTTAACATGGTGTTTCATATAGGGCAATAATAAAATTTTCATGCTAGTCTTGAATCTAGAACAAATTTTTACCGCTTTTTAACTTCTGGCTTCTGCTTTGGTTTCATACTCTTCTTCTCGGCACGCGACATTATTCGCACGTCAAATTCCACAGCTTTTTTCTCTCCTTTCCTGTTCTGCAAACAGAAAAACCATAATTTCAGTACATAGAGGAAACCATTTCAAACTCAAAGGTAATTCTTGTATCTCTTCATTTAAATCATTTCTAAAAATTACTCCTCGATATCAGCAAATAACTGTGTTGAGGAAGATACTCACTTTGTATGGAGTAGCCATCTTTCGCAGTCCAGGTAATCTAGAACCGCTGCTGGTGGCCGGTGTTTGTTGTGTTGTAGAGAGAAGATAGCTGCGATAAAGAGCTCCGCATGGCAGGGTTGGACGGGCACTCGTGGCACAAGCATAAGTAGGAGCAGACGTACAAGAATACAAAGATCTATCAATGCCGGAGTCAGGGAGAATAGCTTCAACTGGCGCATCGGCAAGCGCGGAGCGAGCAAAATTCCAATTGCGTTTAAGATGAGCAAACATGGCTGAGTCGAGACCAGCGGCGCCTTTATGATCTCCAGGAACATTTCCAGTGTCCCTGGATAATGAAGTGAAAATCAGGTAAGAAGTAACGGCCTGGGGACATACTTTCAAAACTCGCTAAGTGAACGTAAGTACTTACGCTCTATTTTCTTGTCTATGATTGGTGGATTTTGCTCGAAAGGCCGTCAATAATTGGCTGATGAACTTACGATCTCTTAACTTTTTTTGAAAGTATAGGCCCTGAATTGTAGCTCATGTAATTGAGCTCAACTATATCTGAGCATTAAAAATCAAAGTATACCGAATGTCATAGCTCAAAAAAATGCTAATATTGCTGATAAAAACTGCTTTTACTGTGAGACGTAAATAAAACATAATAAAAATAAATAATATTGAAATAGATGCTCAGCACTGCGGTTAGAAAAACTTTCAAAGTAAGGAATTTACCGAGTAACTCAAATTTACCAAATAACTCACTGCCAGGCTGATAAATGATTCAACTTTTTTTGAAACTGTGACTCAAATTGGACGCTAATAGTTAATAATTCTATGAGTAAAATCAAATAAAATTACTAGACAAAACATAAATACATCCAAACAAAAAAAAAATTAATTCGGCACCTTTCGGGAGCCTCAGCAATCTGACGAACGCTAATAGCTTCTTCCATGGCGGGCTTGTGGCGCAGCATCAGGACGGTGATGTCCTGGCCTGCCACGCCGCGGTTGCCGCCAAGAGGTGTGCTCAGGCAGATCCTCTGCAGGTCTTGCCTGGGAAACGTTACGAGTACGCATCAAATGAATGATACAAGAGTGCTAAAGTGGATGGCATAAGTGATAAACGGTCTAGTTATATAGAAGGGCGACAAGTTCTGTTAGTACTAAAGATGAAGTAGAAGTAGTATTTAAAAAGGTACAAGTTCTGGTATTAGCAGAAGGTTGAAGGTAATGTGGTAGTTTTCAGCAATTCACCAGTGCACGTCGAGCTGTGCACTGAGTGACTCGTGAAATGATACTACACTGCATTGGGACAATGATGCTACACTACATAAAGACATTTACTTAGAACTAGGCATCAACATAGTGTACATTTAAATGCAAGGTCTCATGTAGTAGCTTTTCGTTGTTGTACCAAAAAGTAGCTCAATTCCAACCAGTTTCCGGTTTGCGGGGAAAATATTTCAAGGTCAAATAAACGAGCTCTCTGACTAAAATTTCGAACTATCGTCTAATCTATCTAATTCGAAAATTCACTATCGTCTAACGTCCTCACCATAATGAATTGATGTAAATTTAGCTGTGATCTCGAAGTGATATGATGGCTTATATTACGAAGTGATATGATGGCTTATATTACGAAGTGATATGATGGCTTATATTACGAAGAGATATGATGGCTTATATTACGAAGTGATATGATGGTTTATATTACGAAGTGATATGATGGCTTATATTACCAAGTGATATCATGGCTTATATTACGAAGTGATATGATGGTTTATATAACGCTCACCAGTACTGCGAAACGCTCTTGAGGTCGTGGAAGGAGTGAGTTAGTAAAGCGTAGGAGCGGTCCTGAGATATTTGGTGGTAGCCCGGACCTGATGTTGAGGTGTCCGTGAGCGTTGTGCGGCAGTTTACGTACACTAATTGCTGTTCCCGGTAAGGCTGTTGAAGGCACAAAATTTATACTTACTTTTTAAAAATCAATTGAAAATTAAAAACCGTGGCGGACGGTCTCCAATGAAAAATGGGCTGGGAGAAATAATCAGGGTTAGCATCTCATAGGCGAGAAGCGTAGATAATATACCAGGTACTCATAATTATAGATGAGATAATACACGTAGATATTAGCTAAAGTTAATAAGGTCAATAATAGCTACAGGTAATAACGTCAATATTAGCTAGAGGTAATAATGTCAACGTTAATTAATAATCAACGAGACACAAGAGAGACGGAGTGTAAAGCAGTGCGGGGTATCCTGCCTACGAAACAACATAACTGCGACCAGTAGTTAGATACAGCGAGCTCTGCGTCGGAATGACTCACTCGAACGTGATAAATGAATGATATAATTCGAGTGTAATCCAGGTGAAACATAGCTGAATAGAGAATTCGTGAAAAAAATTACGTTCCGTTTGAATATTTATTGCCATGTAAATGGTAAAATCTTCTGATATTTACCATTAGGGACAATGATAAGTTGGACTTTAGAAAAAGGCATAAAATAGTCATAATGACTATTTTAAAAATGACATAAAATTGCAGGGGTGAGGCATTCAATTCCGCGCAAATTACTTCAGTGGATTTACTTGGATTGAATAGATCAACAATTGCTATTCCCTAATTTTTAAACTAAATCCTTGTAAATTTACATTTCTGGAGTTATAAAGATAGAGTAGAGTTTTAGAAGTTAGATCGGATTCTGAAACGCAAAAAATGTTAAATAGGAAATTAATAGTACAAGTATTTTGAAACAAAGAAAAAATAACTTCATTAAAGACGTTTCGAAGACCAGCTTCATCATCAGTTCCAAACTTATACCAGCTAAATCAATGGAATGACCAAATTTACACAGATTTGATTAAAACCTAAACCGCCAGCTGCACTGGGTAAGTGAGACAAAAATCTATAGATTAACAATTTCAAAATAAAAATAACTATAAGCGTTGTACAGACAAAGTTTCTGTTGAAAATGTGCGACGATTATAAGATCCGCATATCTGTGGCGCCAGAAGCAGAGCGCAAATCTAATTGCCATCGCATAAAAGAACGTCATTTTCTAACCGCGAAGTCGCACTGCAAAATTGGTCTACTGGGCTAGCAGATCTCAAGAACGATAATTTCTACTTGCTCGGTCAATCTCAGATAGAAGTCACACGTTTATTTTTGATAATTGGTATTAAATTAAATATTTTTAATATAAAATGTAATACCTACGGTATTTTTAATTGGCATGTTCTGTGCTTTCAAATTCTAGCATATCCCACGATGAAAGCATGCAAATGAGTAAATCAACTGTAAAGATAAAAATTGATGGCTTACTATAATCTATGATGTTACATATCACAGTAGCAAAAAATTGCAACCCTGTCATGGATATCTCAACAGGTAGTAGATCACAGTAATAGTGAAAACGAATAAAATACATAAAGCAATATAATTTAATAAGTTGATTGCAACCCTGATAGTACCAATATCTTTTTAGCGCATTTTCTCATTTATGGAAAAAATCCTAGATTGCAAATAAATTATGGATTTGTAATTGTGGACGAATGCTAATCGATAAAATCTAACTCATTACTCACTGCAGTGAGTGACAGAGAGCGCATTTTCTCGTCGACGAAAACGTGAATCTCGGACGGACAGACAGACAGACGGACGGACGGACATGGCGAGCACAATAGCGTCTTTTTTCATAAATGAGAAAATGCGCTAAAAAGGCGCTATTGTGCTCGTCATGTCCGTCCGTCTGTCTGTCTGTCTGTACGTGACTTCACGTTGCCGGTTATCATGGATACCCGGCACGAGAAAATGCGCTCTTTGTCATTCACTGCAGTGAGTACTAAGTTATATTTTTTCTGGTCGTAAGACATCCTCCATACATTGATATCTAAAAGCTCGCAAATTAATGCACGCAAGAGGCATCAGCTTACCGCGCTGATCTGAGGACCCATCTGTAGGAGTCCCATGTAGCAGAGACGATGGACGAGCTCCAGGATGTGGTACACGTAGCGGCGGCTCTGAACACAAAACTTCAAATGAGCAACACAGGAGCATACGAGGATTCAATCATAGCTCAGTTCTCTAGTGAAATATCACTAATTAGTTTAATGATTGAAGATTTTCTTGCAGTTTTTATTTTTTTTAAACAAGATTTATTCTAGAGTATATCAATTCCTTATGAATTTATAATATATAATTCCTCTTCTGTTCAGCAGAAAAGGCTAAACAGAACTGAACGAGCACCAGTGCATGATATTTTAAACCCTTATTTGAATTAGCAGCAGCACAAAGTTGAGTGATATTTGTTGTCCTGAATACGCAAACTTTACTCGAGTTGACGGAAAAAATCATCATAATCTTGTAGTACTCAACTCACCTCTAAGACTTCAGAACGAAGAGACGCGGGAAGCATTTTGATGAGATAGAAACGTTTGATGGGATGCCGCACCCACTTAGCAAGCTCGTTGTCTATTGCGCAGCGCACGACGCGCGTGAACACGTACAGCGGCAGTGACATGATCACGTCTGACAACAGCACCCAACCGCACGTGGCACGAGCATGTTCACCCAGCGGAGGTATGAACATCCTGTGGTACAGTTCTGAGTTAGGTTCTACTGAGACGGGAGGTATGAACATCCTGTGGCACAGTTCTGAGTCTGTCTCTTATACACATCTAGATGTGTATAAGAGACAGGTTTATGAATGATCGAAAAGTATCGTTTCGATAGCAGGAACACTCACATANGTACAGTTCTAAGTTAGGTTCTACAGAGACGGGAGGTATGAACATCCTGTAGCACAGTTCTGAGTTAGGTTCTACAGAGATAGGATGTATGACCATCCTGCATCATGTATGATTCAAAAGAATAAACAATTCATCACGAAATCAAATTTTCTTTTTTGCAAAAGCCATCCCCACTGTAGTAAGATTTCATGTATTATAATAATGTCTACATTTAAAAAAAATATAACTCAGTACACACTGCAGTCAGTGACAGAGAGTGCATTTTCTCGTCGACGAAAACGTGAAGTCACGGACGAACAAACAGACAAACGAACAGACAGACAGACAGACAGACGGACGGACACGACGAGCACAGTATCGCCTTTTTTCATAAATGAGAAAATTGTCTAAAAATGATCGACTCACTTCCAGCAGGCATCAGGAGTATAAAGTCGAGGCAAGGACTCAGACGCGATATCGAGTCCAGGATTGTCGTGCCGTATAGCGCTCCAGGTAGCCTGCTGGTCGAGGTTTACGTCACCTTCGTAGTTCCGGGCCAGGTAGAAGAATAAGTGATGAAGCTCCTGTAGGCGCCTGAACTTCGGGGCAGGTCTGGCCAACGAACTCTTCCCCTGCAATGCAACAATACAGCCTTGAGTGATGGAGATGGTTTCCAAAAAGTTTTCATTGAAGATATGGTGAACTTGCCTGGTGTTTTGTTCGGTTTTTAATTCTGATTTCTAAATGACGTCTGGTACTTATCTGTAAAAAAAAATACTACTGGATAGATGCAGCACTATTAAGGTAGCTGGGCAACTCCTTAGTCTGATTTGTGTCATATATATTTTCTTGATCGTATATTATTGTGAAGTTAATTCACGGTTCACTAATTTGAAGTAATTCATTTATGTATTTTTCTTGACAGCATAAAAGAGGTGTACGATTCCCGCGTAATAAGTTCCGAATTTAAAAACTAGTGCACCCCATTCACGTAAGTTGGCAAGTTTTGTAACACACCGTCATATTTATTTTGGTCTGGAAATAAGATATACGTTTAGATATTCGAGCTGATTTTAAATTAATTGAAAGTCCATTGATTAATTATTTGCTACATTGCGAATATTTGTAATTGTACTGATGTGCGGAATTACAGCACTGCAGTTTTAAAAAATACTAATTTAGATTCAACGAGATTTCTTTTTCAATAATATTGTTCCTGCCTGGCTAGTTTTGAGGAGATTTTGAATCTCTAGCCAGGTCAAATTAAAAGGACAAAGTGAATTGACGGTATGATAATACAATTAGCAGAATATTAAATTGACACGCAACTTCATGATAAATATAATGGTAGTTAACTCATTTCACTAATAACTACATTCATAGCCCAAAAAAAAACATTTCAAGTGACCATTGCGTAAGATCAGAGTCTGCATCAAACACATGTAGGAGCGATAGAAACTAAGATATCGACTGACCAAAGTTCTGGAGTTGTTCTTCTTTACTTTGAAGTACTTCATAGAAAGGTTGGGAGAAGTCGAAGTAACGACCAGGACATTTCCTTTCTTCTTGGTCGCGTCTTTCTTGGACGGAGGAGGAAGGTGTTTCATTCTCAGCTGCTCGATGACCGATTCTATCTGCGCGTCATCTGTGCGAGAAATACAAATATGAAAAATACGAATATGCGAGAAATATAAATACAAAGTGCAAATATCAGTGATTAATATGTGTGATTGCAACTGCACTTGCATGGCAATGAAATTCAGAGATTAGAATCTCGGTTCCATATGCAGACTCAATGAAAGGACAAACCTGCAATATGGATGAAAATATTTATCGAAAATGGCCGAAAAAATCGAAAAAAGCTCAACCACAATAAAATATGCTTCGAAAAAACACATCAACTTTTAAACGTCCGAAATCATCGCAATATTTACTGGTAAACACCTCACAACCTTTCAAATTACTGTTACACTGACAGATCGACTGTACAATTGATGCTGAAAACCACTGTAGCAATTGGTTCAGAGCTACAGTAATATTTACCATTCGAAATCAATGCAGCATTTACCCTTTAAAATAACAATTGTAAAATTAGCATTTCAAACCATTGTACGTACTAGGCAGCAACTTTTACATTTATTGTAAAGTTAACGTTTAACTCATCACCCTTTGCCGCTTCAAACTCACTAAAATTACACGCTTAACACCATTAACGTTCGTCCTCAAAACAGCTGATATCTAATATTCAAACCCCCTAACATCTACCGTACCTCTCAAACGACTGATATCTATTATTCAAAACTATTAAAATAACCCTTTAAAACCACGGATACCTACCACTCAAAACGACCGATTTCTTAAGCCTAGACGCCCCTTATACCCTGACAAGGTCCTGAACATAACCTTCACTCTACAAATCACGAACAAATGGTATCAATATGGCCCATTTCTTAAGCCTAGATGCTCCTTATACCCTGACGAACTTCTAAACCAAATCTTCACTATACAAATCACGAACAAATGGTATCAATACGGCCCATTTCTTAAGCCTAGACGCTCCTTATACCCTGACAAGCTCCTGAACATAACCTTCACTCTACAAATCACGAACAAATTGTATCAATACGGCCCATTTCTTAAGCCTCGATGCTCCTTATAACCTGACGAACTTCTAAACTAAGCCTTCACTATACAAATCACGAACAAATGGTATCAATACGGCCCATTTCTTAAGCCTAGATGCTCCTTATACCCTGACGAACTTCTAAACTAAGCCTTCACTACACAAATCACGAACAAATGGTATCAATACGGCCCATTTCTTAAGCCTAGATGCTCCTTATACCCTGACGAACTTCTAAACTAAGCCTTCACTATACAAATCACGAACAAATGGTATCAATACGGCCCATTTCTAAAGCCTAGATGCTCCTTATACCCTGACGAACTTCTAAACTAAGCCTTCACTATACAAATCACGAACAAATGGTAGCGACGAAGCACTCACTGGACGGGACGCTGGGGTGGACGATGATGGAGTGTTCCTTGTACCCTGACGAGGTTTTGAACTTAACCTTCACTATTCTGATGAAGCCGCCGGCACGTAGCCGCTGGACCAGACGTGTCACGGACTTCTTATCAATGCGATGGTTTAAATCCACTTCAGACTGTAAAAAAACTCAAACTTTAAATATTGATGGAAGAGACATACACAAGCATTCATTCTTAAAAATATTCAAGTTGTCAAGCATTCTGTCATCAAGAATATAAAATTAATAATCCAATGCTTTAATAAGGCTGGTGGAATCCAAAGCAACAAGAAATTCAGATCATTTGTAAAATATTAAGTTTGGACTCGAAGTAAAAGAAATCAGATTTATACAATTCTTTGTAGTCTGGAGAAGTAAAAAACTGAACGAACTCTGTAAATCTGGACAATCGTTTGCCGGAGCAGCAATATTTGAAGAGCAGCTCACTGGTCAGGCTAGAACCAACAAAATGAAAGCTACGAACCTCAAGGATGGCTTTCTGGAGTTGGAATGAGTCAGGAATAACTCTGTGGGTGCGGACCGTCTCGAGGATGATGTTCGAGCGTTTCAAGAGACGGGTTGTCAGTTGTGATGACAAACGCTTTGAATTTGATTCAAAACATTCTGATCCATCCAAAAACCTGCGCACACAAAGAAAGCCTTTGAGCAAGTTTAGCGTAGTACAAAAACAACAACAAACAAACGGTGTGATTAGAGGCAAACTGTAATTAGCATCATGTCAAGTAGCCAACAGTTTAAGTGTTTTCCCCCAAAAATTGTTCAATTAATTCCTGATTAAACAAAAAAAAATCTGACTATTAAACATTAATGTTTAATCAGATATCCAACACAGTGCAGCAATTTAATGGCCGAACAATGAAAGATGTTTAACATTTTCCATCTTGTTGCAAAATCAGTTTAAAACACGAGTAATCATCACTAATAACACCGATAGTTGAACCGCTGGATACCCTTTTAATACATTTGAAAGTATTTTTAATATATTTAGAAGTATTTTCTCGCAGGTTTTCTTACTTCCTGTAGCGTGCGTCAGGATCATCAGTAAAGGCTAGCGTAGAGTCCTCGATGATGCTCACGACGGTTGGCAAGTCCTCATCCTGAGCAGCATCGTCTGCATCAGTAACCTGAGACGTGGTCGGCACATCCAAAGCAGATAGCATGGCTTCTTGAAGGTTCGTGTCAGAAACGTACTCGCCTTTCCGTTTGTCAAAAATTCTGCCAACATTTGAAACTCCAACCTGGGAATTATCCAATTCTCGTTTGATTACGACTGATTTTGAAGGGCCTCCGTCTTCACATTTTAAAGCTAGCGAAGATAATTCCTGAGATGCATTTAAGTTTTCATCAGTCACATGTTCAGCCTCGTTCACCTCATTAGATTTTCTAACCTTATCTGGATTACTAACTTCGGTCGTACAAGATTGATCAGCCAAACCCTGAGAAATTTCCAGTTCAGTGTGTACTAAATTTGAGTTTGATATTAAATTTGAGTTTGAAAGTTCAAGATCAGAAGGAGAAGTTGACACTGTGATTGCTGGGGCATCAGAAGAATGATTGTCATCTGCATCGTTAGTCTCGAGAGAGATTGCTCGGTTATCAGAGCTGTTGTCTGGTGCTTGATCATCCGTTTCAATAACTCTATCATCGAGAGAAATGACAAGTGCCGAACCGTCGAGCTGGATGGTAGTAGGATCATTTTGTGGTCTCGTAGGAAGGATAACTAAACTTTCTTCGGGAGTTTCTTGCTCTTTGAATATTTTACCCACGACGTTGGAGTCGCATTCAGCTTCAGAGGGAGTGATTTTTCCCACAAGATTGTCAGATTTGTGGCAAGAAGATTTGGTACAGTTGGCAGCTGACGAGGATGGCTTGGGTTCAGTAATTACAGGCTCAACCTCAGTATAAATTGAAGGCTCGTCATTATCCGTTGCATCACCGCTGCTCTGTGCCAAAATATGAAATTATTGAAAGCCAAGTCATAATTAAGGCCGACACTATCTTCGCTACTGACGTAACTCTACACTGAAGACTCCAAAACTTATAAAAATATCTTCAAAATATTTCAAGCACATTTTTGCATAAATTACAAGCAGATATGTAAAATTATTATTGCCTTTAGCCTAAAATATAATTTTACTTAAATATAAAATATCTTCAAAATATTTCCAGCATATTTTTGCAGCAATTATAAGCAGATAAGGAAAATGTCTCATTATCTTTAGCCTAATAAATAACTTTACTTAAATATCAGCAGTTTTACTGTGAACCTAATGCAACGTTCATACAAAGCTAGAGATAACGTCTGCCTTGAAATAGAAAAAAGTTTGATCTCACAGCATTATGCATGAGTTTCAAGAGCTTTTGTTTCTCATGAGAAAACTCTTGCGTCAAGCGACTGGAGTGAACTTGGTCCCGTGGCACGAAGTGTGTCACGCGCTGGCGTCCCGCATCACGCATGATCGAGTCCACTGCCCCACTCCGCAACAGGTTCCTGGCGCGGTGATGAGACTGAGTTAGCAACATGAGACTGAAACAGAGTCTCATTAACTGAGTTAATGAGACTGAAACTGAGTTAATGAGACTGAAACTGAGTTAATGAGACTGAAACTGAGTTAATGAGACTGAAACTGAGTTAATGAAACTGAGTCTCATTAACTGAGTTAATGAGACAAACTGAGTCTCATTAACTGAGTTAATGAGACTGAAACTGAGTCTCATTAATTGAGTTAATGATACTGAAACTGAGTCTCATTAACTGAGTTAATGAGACTGAAACTATGAGACTGAGTTAGCAACATGAGACTGAGTTAATGAGACTGAAACTGAGTCTCATTAACTGAGTTAATGAGACAAACGATGAGACTGAGTTAACACTCCGCAACAGATTCCTGGCGCGGCGATGAAACTGAGTTAGCAACGCTCAAAAAATTCAACGAAATAAATAAGATTCTACTTTGAACCTGGAATTTGATAGAGGTAATAAGATTAGAGTAAGTGATTCCGTGCAAACAAGCGTTTTGAAACATAGTTATGAACCATATTAAAAACTTACTTCTGAGGTGTCTAAATCGATCATAGAAAGGCAAGTAAATTATCATCAAATAATAATTAATATAAATATTGAAAAAGTGAATCTTGATTATTAATAAAAATACAACACAAAATAGCGCTATACAACGAAAAGAAAAAGTGCAAGCTAAGCAGATGAGATGGCTCGCGGCGCCAAAGAATCTCATTTACTTAATAATTACGACTTACACCCGAGAAAATTTTTTAGTGTAACCATTTCCAACAGCCCCATCATGACGGAAAAAAGTGCACCATTAACACATAGCATAAAATTGTTATACAAACGACAGGAACTCGTATACCAAACCTGACGCTTTGAAATAATGAACAGCAAAGGAAACGAACTCAAAAAATAGAACCTGAAGCCATGAAATAATGTACTGCAAACGAAACGAGTTAAAAAAATTGAACCTGAAGCCTTGAAAAAGTGTACTGAAATGGAAACGTACTCAAAAAATAGAACCGGAAGCCTTGAAAAATTGTACTGCAAAGGAAACGAACTCAAAAATAGAACATGAAGCCTTGATAAAGTGTACTGCAAAGGAAACGAACTCGTACATACAACGTAGAACTTAGAAATAATTTGCACGATCAAACATAAAAGATAAAAGTTTGAGCAGCACAACGAAGACCTGCAGATTGTGCGGGAATCGAGGCGAGTCTGTCCGAGCTTCTCCATAATTTCTCTCTGCGTCGTCCCTTCAGGTCCATTCTCCCTGGCCACCTCATAAGCCCGTTGCAATGCTGACTTGAACAGCACGATCTGAAAGTAAATAACGTCAGTTTAAAACCTAATTGTCTTGCTTTCTTACCAAGTATTTGCGTAAACTCTAGTATAGTTCGATTAATGGCGTTTTGTAATCTGTTCAATTTCTTACTCGTTTTGCTTCTAGACTTAATGCCATATTGAATTACTTTGATAATAAAAAAAATTGTTTTGAGCGCAGAAAACTTGAAACTATACATCAAAGCTGTTACCTATATCTGATATAAATTTATTTAAAATGAGTCCTAAAAGATTTCAGGTGTTTTTCAAGATTAAAAATCGCTTCAATAATTTTTATTTAGAACAATAAGAAAATAACTTTTAAAGAGTTGCCCTAAACTAAAATAACTACCCATTCTTTACGAGATTCATCACTCAAAAAAGGATGTCTAAGAAGTTTATTAATCAGCAGCAAAAGGTTATTATTGAACAGGGTAAATCATTGCTAATGTTTGACGACCTTAGAACGGTCCAGAATGCCGGCCGCACTCAAAAAAGGATGTCTAAGAAATTTATTAATCAGAAGCAAGAGGTTATTATTGAACAAGGTAAAGAATTGCTAATGTTTGATGACCTTAGAACGGTCCAGAATGCCGGCCGCGTCATCCTCGTCGTCATCGTCTGGTTCAGGAGGCTCGTCTGCGTGCAGGTCTCCAGGCGACAGCTTAGGATCTGCCAGCACGAAGCAGCGAACCTGGGGAAGTAGCTTCATGATTATTATAGTCTGAAAATGTATGTTAATATGGGGAAATTGTGTGAGTGCGATGAAATTATGAGACTATTGAGAAATTGTGTAAATATAGGGAAATTGTGCGACTATAGAGAAATTGTGTGACTGTGGAGAAATTGTGCGACGTGAAAGAAATTGTGCGACTATGGAGAAATTGTGTGACTATGGAAAAATTATGTGACTATAGAGAAATTGTGAGAATATGGAGAAATTATGTTACTATAGAGAAATTGTGTGACTATGAAGAACTTGTGTGACTATAGAGGAATTATGTGACTATAGAAAAATTGTGTAAATATAGGAAAGTTGTGCGACTATGGAGAAATTATGCGACTGGAGAAATTGTGTGACTCTGGAGAAATTGTGTGACTATGGAGAAATTGTGTGACTATGGAGAAATTGTGTGACTATGGAGAAATTGTGTGACTATGGAGAAATTGTGTGACTATGGAGAAATTGTGTGACTTTGACAAGATTATGTAACTATGAATCAATAGGTTTAACCATTACACCTTTACCACAACTAATTTAATCCGAAATCTATTTTAGAAAAAATGGATAGCAAACTAATTTCATCAATTCAGTTGCCAAAATCCCACATAATTTTAAATATAATTAATTACATATTCATGTGTTTATATTTCTCATAAGATCACATCCCATTCAGGACTTCCAAATAAATCTGGACAGGCAGCAGGATGACCAGAAATATTTCATATAAATTTCTTCACACAACAGTCTGGACAATCACAACACAATGCAGATGAGAACCATGACCAAATTGAATTTGAAATTTATTAAGTTTAAGTGCAAACCTGTCTTTCCTTCTTGTTCTTGTCGTACATTTCACGTGGTGTTGCATTAGGATAGACCTTCGAGTGAGGAAGCAGCTCAGTTTTGATGTATCTGTAGGGAGGAAATTGTCATCAGAGGACGAGGCTAACAATGTTGTTTTCTGGTACAAAGCGGACTCTTCAGACCTAATTAACATCGAATCTAACTAAGTAGTAGTACATCCTTTTTAGGTATAATGATAGTCGTATTTACCAAGGTTAAAAAACAACCATAATTTCTTAAATTAAAAGTAAAACAATGTTCGGTCCGCAAAAATACAAAAGCTAATTCTTGCTGACTAAAGGACTTACTTGGAGAATTCAATGTTTTTAATTAGCTTCTTAAAGGAGAGATCAGGCAGTGCCAGCGATTCTTTGAGCAGACTCAGCGGCACGGTATAGTTGGGCATCCCACGTAGCAGTTCAATGCAATGCTCAATCAGCAGAACAAACTTGCTCTTACGCTCTACATAGAACCTGACAAAACAAATGTCAAATCATCAATATAACCAGTTAGAGTCAGATCAAAGCTCTTCTTAGTACTAAAACACACGTCATTTCAAAAGTGCTCCTACTTTTTTGGTACCGACATCAAAATAAAATCTTTTCAGTTTAAGTGACAACCTAATGATCAAATTGCAGCCACGTAAATCCCCGCTTACACAAATTCAGAATTTTATTAACAGCTGAGTTAACTAACAGACAACTAGAACATTGGGATATTCCATACAGAACATGATAAATAGAAACAAACGTGGAATAATTAACTTATTAAACTATTAATAATTTTAATATACATTGAATAGGTGTATCTTAACGAGCATTCGGTATCTTACATTTACTCACTTATTAAACTATTATTTACATAGAATATTATCTTACTGAGCACGATGAAGCATTTACTCCCTTTTTAAACTATTATTTAAATAGATCTTACTGAGCATGATGAAGCATTCACTCACTTACTAAACTATTATTTACATTGAATATATCTTATTGAGCATGACGTAGCATTTACTCACTTATTAAACTATTAATATAGACAGAATAGATCTTACTGAGCATGATGAAGCAAGGAGCCGGTCTGTGATACACCCTTCAGGTTCTTCTGTAAGTGTGTTTGTTTTGTTATGAGGCGCAGTTTGAGCAACCGCTTGCGGTGGTAGAACAAGGACTTGGCATCGCCTAGCTGCGTCATGCCGTGCTGCGACAAAAATATTCAACGATAACAACAGTAAGTGATAACAACAGTAAGTGATAACAACAGTAAGTGATAACAACAGTAAGTGATAACAACAGTAAGTGATAACAACAGTAACAAGGACTTGGCATCGCCTAGCTGCGTCATGCCGTGCTGCGACAAAAACATTCAAACATTCAGTGATAACAATAGTGAGGACTCAGTGTAGTTCCTAGTTCACTTAACTCGAGTTCATTAGAAGTAATTAAGATGTGATATTATGCAGGCAAGATAACTAAAGCTATCAATTATTTACACTCGCATAAGTGTACAGAAATCTTCAAATTTAGAGTCAATTGGAATTTAGAACTATTGATACAGGGACAATATAGACCAGATATAAGCAGATGTGTAGCAGTCTGCAACAAAATGTAACATTATACGACCAAAAATCATTTCTACTTCAGTAAAAACGATAACAATCCAACTAAGCTCAGACCTTGCCTTGAGTAATATCTCCCATAGTTCTTGTTCTGGCAATGCGTTCCAGTATGCAATACTGGGCGAGGGTGAGAGGATTGAAGGGATCCACGTTGGTGTTCACCCACAGCACCTTGTCTCGCAGCATCTGACTTGCCACCACCACCAGCTCGCCTCGCTTGTATCTGAATAACGTACAATTACACATGAATATTTGGTGCGCATATCATACATGAGTATTTGGTGAGTTTAATCATGCATGAATATTTGGCGAGATCAATCCCGTAAGAATATATAGTGTGCTCAATCCTGCATCAATATTTGGTGTGCACAATCACAGCCAATCTTTAGAGTGCAGAATCATAAAAAGCTCTTGCATGTGCACAAAGACAATCACAAATAATTCTGCAACAAGGAGCTCTCACATCTATTCAATTTGAGCAAATAACTCATTAAAAATAAAGCCATGGCAACAAATCCATTAGTTCCATAACAAACAAATTAAATAACAGCATAAGTGGCCAATTTCACACCACTGCTTACCTTTCTTCAACTTCATCAAGCTCAAGCTGGGACACCTCTTCAGAAACATCCTCTCTGGTGTGATAGTGCTGGCAAGAGCCCATTTCTCCAGTTCCCTCATCCTCCACTTTATGAAATGGGTAAAGTTCTTGGGGATGGTTGGTGGGAGACTCTACTACAATCCCCAGTTCTGGGTCCATATTCTCATACCTGCCAAGGATCAGAATAATTATCACAGTCAGAATAATTATTTATGCTAGCATTAAAAATACTGTGATCAATTTTCTGAAGACTCGTGTTAAAGTACAGGTAAAAGTTACTCATGCACTTAGTTCATGCATTAACCACAGGTAGCCTTTGAAAATACATTTCAGTTTTTCATTCTGCAACATAATGCAAGATGACTTGGTCGTTCAATTAGAATTGAAATAAATTAAGCATCAAAGATCTTCAGAATATCAGTCTACTTTTTCAAAGATCAAACAGCCCCAAAAATATTTCAAATGGACGTCTTGATCACCTGTATCTAGAATTATATACGTTGCTCAAGTGATTAGATCCTCAATGCTGTTCATTCTTCCTCAGCCGATGCAGATTTTTATAATGAACCTCTTTGACGTCACAAAAATTTTTTATTGAAAAGTAAGCAATTTAATAACTTGAAAGATTTAAAATTACAAATTGAGCAATGTGCATTAACAAGAATCCACACTTTGCTTTAAAAAAAATAAATAAATAAGATAACTGAATTGATTGAGAGCATAACTAATTTTTATTGTATCACTGCAATCTCAAAGTAACAAACTTATTAAAGTGACACATAGAGGAGCAGTCTGCATTACCTGTTAGATATGATGAGGTCAGCTCTGGGAGTTGGAAGTCGGTAGAAACTGAGCTCATTGTCATCACAAATCATGGACCAAATACATAGCTTGGTGTTATAGTCCAAGTGGGGCTTCTTACAGAAATTAACTCGATTCTCCAGTCTCACCCATAAACCTGGAACAAAAGGTGTTATTAATAATTTTGCAAAAAATTCCTTTCATCAAGTTCAAAGACATAATTTCTGTAGGTATATCTACTACAACTGATTGGTCCAAAAACTTTCTGACAATGCTTTGAAATTTCTTTAATTAGTCTCAAGATTTTAAAAATCCTACTTCCTTATTTTTCCAGGACTGAGGAAGACAAAAGTGGCAAGAGAGCAGATGGTGCCAGGATCAACTGGCATCAGCATGTGACCAAAGTATCAAACAAATAATAAACTAATGAAAGAAATCAAACAATATAAATCAAACTTGGCAAATAATCATAGCATCATGACTAGAAAGAACATAAAACCATCAAAGCATTTTGTTATGGGTCGAGCTTCAACCCAAATTAGCTACCGTTAAGTGGGATAACTTTGGCCAATGGGGGTGACTTTGGCCAAAGTGACTGGGGTGACTTTGGCCACTAGGGTGACTTTGGCCAACATTTATTATTATGTTTTGCAGTCATTTGTTTCTGTTTTAGGTGTGGGCCAAGTCACCCCCATTGGCCAAAGTTACCCCACTTGATGGTAACCTGATGGATGTGTCAGATTATTTGAAAGAAACAAGAATCATTAAAAATACAGCCAACAAGATCAAATTGTTCCTAAGCCTTAGATGCATCCATATATTAGCAAATAAATGATTCACAGATTCTCTCACTTGCAAAATCTTTTTCTTATAGGCAATCAAAGATAGGCTTCTCCAATTCTTCTATTCCTGGGAGCCTTTGCAAAACTGGCAAACTTTACAATATTAGGTTCTAATGATATAATTTAAAAGAGATGTCTAATTCAATGACTTTGGTATGGCATTCTGGACAGGAAGACAACAGACAAGTGTGAGGTCCTCATACTTGAGTTAAAAGGTATTTCTTATTGGAAGTATACATTTCTTTCTCAAATATAACAGTGGTTCTCACCGTTCTTCTGTCATCTTTGAATACATTTTTGTATTAGTTTTGTGGCATTGATGGTAAATGAATTATAACAAATCTAATATGCATAAACTTGCAAAAAATCTTGGTTGAGGCAAAAGATTTCAAAATTGACCAAAGTATATGAATAAAGTTACAAAAACTTGCAGCCTGCAAAGCCTCAGAACCAATGCACATTGTGATAATACTATTCATAAATCTCACCTTGTAATGTAATTCCATCAAGACCTTCAAGTGCAATTTCCTCCTCAATTTCTTTCAATGCATTTGCAGTTGCAAGTGCCATAGTTCAAGAAGACTCCTCTACTAAGAGTAGGTACCTTGTTTAATTTATTAAGCAACAGAAAAATGAAGAGAAAAACACATTAAAAATTAAACAAATATTTCAGATAATGGTGCAAATAATAATATCACAGAAGTAACAATTTAGAAGCATTAGTTCAAGGTCGGGTAGCAAAACAAATATCAATAATGACAATAAATCAATGTTTCATCTCAGATTAGTCCTAACTCTGCCCTAACTTGCACCACACCAGAGATTGCGGTATATAGATAACTAAAGATCCGGCCTGGAGCTTTGTCCAACGCCAAAAAAGCTGTGGCCATGCCAAAAAGTTCTGCTCTGGTACACAATAAGTTCAACAAAAACCTCATCTCCCATGGGCAAGAATTCTGAAGAATATGGATGGTTTGGTATATTGGGGGGAAAGAATAGCACTCTTCTCAAAAGGCAGTCACTCCTTACACAAAACAAGTCGTTCCTAAATCTATGAAAACTATATGGAATTCTGTTTTTCCCATTGTAAAAGCACTCAGTTGCCAGAATGGAATTATCCTGCCAGACTGAAAAGTATTGTCTAATTGGTCTTTTAGCTTGAGATTTTAATATTTTTTAAGCTCTCCAAAAAGTCATATAGAACTTATATTGGCATCCAAGTCACTGGGTGGATTGGAATCTCCTGCTTGCTTTTATTGGTATCCATCACTGGCATCAATCGTAATGTGCATACATCAGTGCAGATCATCAAACATTGGTCATATCAATCATACTTGACAATCTCTGGAGAAGCCTCAATTGTACCTTGTCCTCCGGGACACTGAATTTGGCATTCCAACCTATGTTGTGCCATACTTTTCATTACAGTGTGGTTTTCCTACATATCACTGAAGGCTGGTGGCTCAAAAGTTACTTATTTTCAATGAATATATTTTACCAATCCTTTAATTTCACCCTAGAAGTTATGACAAGAGCATTTTTCTTCACTCAAGAGTTATTTAACTAATTATAATGTATTTTTTACATTTATGTTCAAGAAACAATACAGTTGTTAACTTGTTACATGACCAATAATGGCAATGATCATTGACCCATGTATGTGGTGACGGAGGTGTCAATTGATCAATACACATGGTGATGGCAGTGTTGCTTAATCTGTAGGGACATGATTTATCTTTGTTATCAGTTTCATTCATTTTCTAGAATATATTGTTCTTTCTTGCAAACAATCTCAGCTAATTTTAGATTGACATCTTCTTTCTTCATCAATTTAGTTATCCATAATATCACATCAGCCTTCTTTGCCAATGGTTGGGGTATATAAGTCTTTAAATAGGGGGTATAGAAATCCTGAATACTAGGTATGTATTGTGAAACCATTGCATTAAACCCTGTTGTCTTTTGAGAAAATAAAAACCGAATTGGCCAACATCACTACCTTTGCCCATCCTTCATCAAATGTCAAAGAGTACTGTCAAATGGGGTAAAAAGGGATGGTTTTGAGCATTTTTCCTTAATAACTTCTTACCATGAAACATTTCATAAATGAGTTTAGCCTCTTTTAAAGGTATCTGCTAGAGCTATCATATGGCATCTCTGAAAAAATTCCATATGCTATTTGTAAGATGCCAGATGTAAAATAAAAGCCCCCTGAACCAACCTTGGAAACAGGGTAATATGGGACACTTGAAATAAAACTCAATTTTAAAACATTTGAAGCATGCAGAGTGTACTCAAACATTACTCTGAAGTCTTCCTCTTTCTTTGTAGATAATGTAGATTATGAATAAATGACATTTTCTGGGATTTTTACTGCTTTTTCCATTATTGATATGATATTACCTTATCCATACATTACCGTATTATTGATGTGATATTAGTACTGTATCCATGGACATGCCACTGAGCATTGACAACGACCTTGTCCACTGCAAGCTTCATATCAGCAGCCATATAGCATTTTTTCTGTAGGTAAGCTTACAGGAGGGCTTGTAATTTTGCAAAATTTTAATTGAGTCAAGTGAATTCACTATAACAAATAGATTGTAAAAACATACCTGAAACACAAAGGAATATTTTAGTGACAACCATATTTTTTGAGAAAAAACATAGTTTAGGTTAATGTCTTTTCATTCTATGTTGCCTGGTGAACATTTTTATCTATGACATTCTGTGCAAAGTTTGGTGATGACTGATGATGCACTAATTTTTATCAAGTGAAATTTTTTTGCTGAACGAGGTAAATCTAATCAAAATACTTTGTTGTTGATTGATTTTTTTTTTTTTTTTTTTTAACTGGAGCCTTTGCTAACCAAGGCTCTACTGCAAATGCGATTTTAGGGGTGTCCCTTATTACCCCGTCATGCGGAAATGGCTGTCATTTTTTTTCTGGAATGAGATACGCTAATTCAGTCAATCACATTTTCAAGGATTTTTTAAAGGTAGTAAATGTATGATTTCTTAACTTGCTTTATGCTACATAGATAGAAAAAATGTTGAACTTTATGCCACTATTTTTTGTTCTGCAATATTTTAATTACGTAGTTTAGCTGCTACAACATTTCTATGAAATGTCGGAGGAGTGTCCCATATTACCCCACCCTCGGAGGACTGTCCCATATTACAACATTTGACAGAGAATTATTAGCTGCTTACTAAGCAGTTCTACACTTCAAACCCATGATCAAAGGCAAAGCTGTTAGTACTACATTTGTTGATCACAAACCTCAAGTTTTAGCTTGCAAAAGTCAAAATCCAGCAAAAAGTGACAGACAACAAAAACACTTCTCCATTGTCGCAGAGTACATCAATGACATCCTGTACAAACGGGGAGACCAAACCATAGTTGCCAATGTTTGTCACAATCTGCCAATGCAGTGACCATCAATTTGAGTAATCTGCCTGCTCTGGCACAAGCACAGATTGATGATCAATTAACCCTTTAGCAGTCAAGTGTTGAAATATCCAGAAATTAAAAGTTCAGAAACTATTTCAAGAAAGTAAGAAGTATTATACGAAATATTTATTTGTATATATTTTTAAAAAAAGGAAGCCTCAAACAGAAATGGGAAGCTGTGATGGGGCTTCTTGTATAGCAATTTCAAGTGATCATATATGGTAACTTGCATGTGAAAGGGCCAAGGACCAATTGAAGACCTATTATATTTCTAAAGACAACCATCTTCAGTGCTATACTTCCCTTGAATAACCACATCCATAAGTACCTCAAAAGTTAAAAATATCTTTGATAGCTTTAATGGCATTGCCCACCTAATAGTAAATGGAACCACAAAGCTAGTAAAGTCACAGTAATTTTGGCCCAACATGTACAGAGATGTTTGTTATATGATAAGAACCTGCCTGCCCTGTCAACAAAGCAAAATTCATTGCCATACCAAAAGTGAAGTCTCACTATTCAACCTTCCTAGCTCAAGATTCGAGATGGTACATATAGATATCATGGTATGGTGGAATGCCTTTACCAAACATTGAAAGCAGCCATAATGGCTTGTAAAGAATTATGGATCAGAGCCCTACCAGAAATTTTACTTGGACTCCAAGGTACTCGTAAAGAGTCAGCATACTCACCTTTCAGCGCAGTCACTGGCATTAGCTTGCTCTATCCAAGACCTTTCATTACCAATAAACCTATTGAAGTTCCCAGACAGTATCAAAAACTTGCCAAATTAATGTGCAAAACAAACTTCTTGATTTCTCTTCAAACCCTTGTCATTTGTGTCAAAAACAGCACACACCCAAACAGCTGAAAAATTGCACTCGCATGTGACTCTGTGTGGACTGAGTGTGCCACTTGCTGTAAGCTCCATACATGGATCAAAACTTTGGTCTACATCGATCCCTGAAAACTTTCACAATTCAATTGCTTGATGATGTAGTCTGATTGATTGACTAACTTGCAGCTGTCTTGACAAACAACTTAGAAGAAAAAATGGGATCAATAACAGAAACCAAAATTCACTAATATAAGGAATCATTATGACTGCAAGCCTTCAGATGATGCCATACCAACCGCCTCAGAAGAACACATTCCAAAATTCCAGAGCTGTCGCAAAGTCATATTTAAGAAAGATAACTCTGTACATTACTAATAATAATATTTAGCCTAGTATAGCTTGGCAACTTGAAGGTGAAAACTGAAGAGACACTGGTATTTATCTTTGTTATCACTATCAGTTTCATTCATTTTTAGCAAAAAATGCACTATTGTGCTCTCCATGTCCGTCTGTCTGTCCGTGACCTCAAGTTTTCGTCAACGAGAAAATGCACTCTCTGTCACTCACTGCAGTGAGTACTGAGTTATATTTTTTAGAATATCTAGCTTCTTTTTGAAAATCATCCAAGCTCTTTATAGATTGATATTTTCTTTCTTCATTGATTCAGTTATCTGCAGAATTACATCAGCCTTGTTCTCAATTTTTGAGATAAGACCTTAAATAGCTCCAATTATATAAATATAATTTGTAATAATTCTTTATATAATCTACCTCATTTATTCATCTCTATATGTATTATGTAACAAGTATTATAGCCATTTGTTCATTCTACAGGTGCATCCTTTGTACTTTACAATTCAACTTCAAACATTATCCTTGGGAAATTTGAGTTCCAATCCCCACTCACAATTCACTTAAATCAGTGGGTTCCCAAAGTGGGCAATATCACCCCCCTGCAAGCAGTGGAATGATCTGTGGGGCCTCTGGAAAGATCTGTGTTTAACCTTTCTCTTTCAAAATTGCAGCATACTAAATATCAATCAAGAAAGAGGTGTTTGTTTTTGAATGTGTCTGTCAGCGGGGGGGGGGTGCTAGAGATTCACTGGGGAGCCAAGGGAGGCGCCAACCTGAAAAAGTTTGGGAACCGCTGACTTAGATTATAGCCATACCAAGCCAACCGTTCTGCTGTAAATCAATACATGCAGTGACAGCAGTGTCAAATGATCATACATGCAGATGCAGTGATGGCAGTTAAGATAATCATTAAAATGTTTTGGGTGTGCTCTAGAGTGTAAAAAGCCACAGGTGAATTGGCAAACACAC